AATTTACAATTCAGCAGTTTCTTTTTTCCCTGAGGATCATAGTACATTGTTCTCTTTCGGGCTTTATCGCCGAAGATATATCCGTTTATTACTATTCTGTACGAGCAGATTCTTTCGGTGTTACTTGCTTTTACTTCCAAGGCCCCTTAGTTGGCGTGGACCTCGTTCCAGTTGGTTCCTGATGGCAGTGGTAGTGATTCAATTCCCAGATTCTTTAATAGTAGCTTGTATAAGTCTCTATGTTGTGCATCGTTCCATTGTTGTTTAGTGTAGTTGATTTGTTGAGTGGTTCCAAATATTTTTTCCATATTTTTGGTATAAATGGGAGATGTGGTGTCGAATTGTTTTAGAATTTTTGTTTGATTGCTTTCATTTTTGATCCCAAAGAATATATTGCGTCTTGGTGCCAGAACTGGGGTGGGGTCGCAATGCTCTTGATTTGTTTGAATCTCTCTGCTATGCATGTATTGATTTTAATGCTCAGATTGAGCGCATGTTCATGCCCCCGTTTTCCCACGGCAGTTGGAGGGTAGCTCTCTTTATAGCCTCTAGTTTTTCTAGATACCATATAAACAAGGCTATTTGTTGTTGGGTCTTTTTCACATATACTGGTGGTATCTCAATAGTTCTGGCATGGAAAATGACTATAGACATGATTATTGAGTTTATAACGATTATTTTCCCATACCAAGTAAGGTTTTGAATAACTGGGGGATCTCACTGTGTTAAAAAATACTTCATCCCATGTTTTAGTATCTCGACTCTGGCCATAATGTATTTCTAGGATTTTGACTATTTCCTTAAGGTATGCTTTGAAGGGGGATTTTAGAAGTAGTTCTTTTGCTTTGTTTGTAAGGCAGAGTATTTCAGTTTTTTCAACATTAGTTTTTTGCCCTGTTGCTTTTTCATAATTTTGGAGTTAGGTTTTTAACTGTATAGGTAGCGTCGTCTGCGAATTTATGATGGTATTTCCCAAGTTCAATTCCTTGTATATGGGTGTTGTATTGCACAAATCTAATTAGGGGTTCCGCGTAAATGGTATACGACAGCATACTTAGTGGGCATCCTTGACGAATTCCTCCATTAATTTTAATTAGTTCGCTAATTTTGCCGTTTATGTCGATACAATTATATATATTTTCATACACGTCTCTAATTGTTCTTATGATGTTTGGGCTGAGATTGATTTTTTGTAGTATTTCAAAAAGAAAGTCGTGGTCCACTCGGTCGAACGCTTTCAGTTTGTCCGTCATTACCAGGAATCCTAGTTTTGGAAATCTATAAATAGGAATTCCACAATTTTTCGGGTCGGACCAACATACCAACGGATGGACCAACGTATCAAATTTTTTGCTGTGAATGTTGAAATGAAACATTGTCGTAATACAATGTCATTTATAATAGGACCGTGGCTTTATTCAAAGATGTTGAAATTGCCTTGCGCCATATCATTGACACAATCATCCTATTTTTATCACAGTACCAAACCAAACAGCATAATCAGCAGCATAGGTGAAACCGACATTCTACGAAGAATAGGGACAGACTACAAAACTTAGAAATGATGTACTGTAGAAATATGCTAGAAGAATTGGTAACAAAACAAGTTAGAAGTGTGAAACTTTAACAATATTCTTCGTCATTCCTCTCAGACTTTTGAATAGGTATATATATAAGACATTCATCAACTTCTATGGGGGACTAACACAAATTGGTATTTTTTGCTGTGATTAATTTGCTACGAAACATATAATTTTAAACAATTCAGATATCCCTTTTGACTTAGGCTGTAACTTTATAAACATACTATAATTTTATGTACACAGTTGGAGAATTGTACGTCAGCAATTCGACAATCATTTGCGTTTTTGTACTAACCGTGTCATATTATCCAGAATACAATACCCAGCACACTAAAACAACATTCCAAGGTGATTCTCATCTGACCACGAGCACAGAGAAATGATATTCTCTAATAGTAAGACAGAGAATTACAAAATGAAATCCTTATAAGTTTGTAGCTTGTTTTAAAATAAGCACCTAAAAACAGTGTACTGTAAAAGTATGGTATAAGAACAATAGAAAATGGAAACTTTTATAAAACTCCGTTAGTCTGGAATTGGGAAAAAAATTTTGTTGAGACTTTTGGAAAACTATAAATAGAACTTCCACAATTTCTCGGGTTGGACCAACATAGAAACGTATCAAAACTTTTGCTGTGAATAATTCTTATGAAACATTGCCGTAATACAATGTCATTTTTAATAGAAAACCGTGGCTTCATTTAAAGATGGTGAGATTGCCTTGTGCCATATCATTGACACAATCATCCTATTTTTATCACATTACCAAACCCAAACGGGATAATCAGCAGATTTTTTTTGTTTTTTTTTGTTACGGATTAGAGTACGATCAATCTCGGATCAATATCATGACAATACGTCATGCCCGAGGGACGATATTACGCTTCATAAGCATATTGTCGCATGCGCAGCATTCAGCTTGGGGGACTGCTATGTTAGCTGCCACCCTTGGAGCTTTCGTTCGTCATTTCCGTTGGGTCGCTCGATGGTATTACCTAAAAGTGTTCTACCATTTATGGTTAGCGCATTTGGGTGATAAAAAAGGAAAGTGTTTTGTTTTTCCCAATATCCAGGTTGTTGTTGCTTTATATCTCGAAAGGATTTCTTTCCAATTGGGTTTCAACTCATGGGTGTAGGCTCCGGGAAAGTTTTGCTCTAGTTGGTCAAGGAATTTAGTGAATTTATTTATCGTTAGCGGGATTATTTGTCGGTCATTTGGTTCAACTTTTGTGTTATTCCTGTCCAGTTCTAATTTTAGCCTTATTGTTTCTAGTTTATATATGAGATAGAATTTAATTATTATAATTTGATTGGGTCCATCATAGTTATTGTAATAAACACTTTCGTTCGTCATCGTTACAGAAGTTTGAAGGATCTGATTGAACATTTGGTAAGTTTTTATTCGACGTCGGGTGATGTATTCACATCTTAGAAAGATATTCTCAGTGTTGTCAGATTGATATCCACAGAATTTACAATTCAGCAGTTTCTTTTTTCCCTGAGGATCATAGTACATTGTTCTTTTTCGGGCTTTATCGCCGAAGATATATCCGTTTATTACTATTCTGTACGAGCAGATTCTTTCGGTGTTACTTGCTTTTACTTCCAAGGCCCCTTGTTTGGCGTGGACCTCGTTCCAGTTGGTTCCTGATGGCAGTGGTAGTGATTCAATTCCCAGATTCTTTAATAGTAGCTTGTATAAGTCTCTATGTTGTGCGTCGTTCCATTGTTGTTTAGTGTAGTTGATTTGTTGAGTGGTTCCAAATATTTTTTCCATATTTTTGGTATAAATGGGAGATGTGGTGTCGAATTGTTTTACAATTTTTGTTTGATTGCTTTCATTTTTGATCCCAAAGAATATATTGCGTCTTGGTGCCAGAACTGGGGTGGGGTCGCAATGCTCTTGATTTGTTTGAATCTCTCTGCTATGCATGTATTGATTTTAATGCGCAGGTTAGGCATGTTTATGCCCCCGTTTTTCCACGGCAGTTGGGAGGGTAGCTCTCTTTATAGCCTCTAGTTTTTTCTAGATACCATATAAACAAGGCTATTTGTTGTTGGGTCTTTTTCACATATACTGTTGGTATCTCAATAGTTCTGGCATGGAAAATGACTATAGACATGATTATTGAGTTTATATCGATTATTTTCTCATACCAAGTAAGGTTTCGGGATTTTGAATAACTGGGGGATCTCACTGTGTTCAAATATACTTCATCCCATGTTTTAGTATCTCGACTCTGGCCATAATATATTTCTAGGATTTTGACTATTTCCTGACTATATATTGACTATATGAGGTATGCTTTGAAGGGGGATTTTAGAAGTAGTTCTTTTGCTTTGTTTGTAAGGCAGAGTATTTTAGTTTTTTCAACATTAATTTTTTGCCCTGTTGCTTATTCATAATTTTGGAGTTAGGTTTTTAACTGTATAGGTAGCGTCGTCTGCGAATTTATGATGGTATTTCCCAAGTTCAATTCCTTGTATATGGGTGTTGTATTGCACAAATCTAATTAGGGGTTCCGCGTAAATGGTATACAACAGCATACTTAGTGGGCATCCTTGACGAATTCCTCTATTAATTTTAATTAGTTCGCTAATTTTGTCGTTTATGTCGATACAATTATATATATTTTAATACACGTCTCTAATTGTTCTTATGATGTTTGGGCTGAGATTGATTTTTTGTAGTATTTCAAAAAGAAAGTCGTGGTCCACTCGGTCGAACGCTTTCAGGTTGTCCGTCATTACCAGGAATCCTGGTTTTGGAAATCTATAAATAGAAATTCCACAATTTTTCGGGTCGGACCAACATACCAACGGATGGACCAACGTATCAAATTTTTTGCTGTTAATGTTGAAATGAAACATTGCCGTAATACAATGTCATTTATAATAGGACCGTGGCTTTATTCAAAGATGTTGAAATTGCCTTGCGCCATATCATTGACACAATCATCCTATTTTTATCACAGTACCAAATCAAACAGCATAATCAGCAGCATAGGTGAAACCGACATTCTACGAAGAATAGGGTCAGACTACGAAACTCAGAAATGATGTACTGTAGAAATATGCTAGAAGAATTGGTAACAAAACAAGTTAGAAGTGTGAAACTTTAACAATATTCTTCGTCATTCCTCTCAGACTTTTGAATAGGTATATATATAAGACATTCATCAACTTTTATGGTGGACTAACACAAATTGGTATTTTTTGCTGTGATTAATTTGCTACGAAACATATAATTTTAAACAATTCAGATCTCCTCTTTGACTTAGGCTATAACTTTATATACATACTATAATTTTATATACATAGTTAGAGAACTCTACGTCAGCAATTCGACAATCATTTACGTTTTTGTACTAACCGTGTCATATTATCCAGAATACAATACCCAGCAAACAAAACAACATTCCAAGGTGATTCTCATCTGACCACGAGCACAGAGAAATGATATCCTGTAAATGTAAGACAAAGAATTACAAAATTAAATCCTTATAAGTTTGTGGCTTGTTTCCAAATAAGCATCTAAAAACAATGTACTGTAAAAGTATGCTAGTAAAACAATAGAGAATGGAAACTTTTATAAAACTCCGTTAGTTTGGAATCGGACAAACATTTCTGTTAGACTTTTGGAAAACTATAAATAGAACTTCCACAATTCTTCGGGTTGGACCAACTGCTGTGAATGATTGATATGAAACATTGCCGTAATACAACGTCATTTTTAATAGAAGACCGTGGCTTTATTCAAAGATGTTGAGATTGCCTTGTGCCAAATCTTTGACACACATTATCCTATTTTGATCACAGTACCAAATCAAACAGGATAATCAGCAATAGGTGAAACCGACATTCTAAGGAGAATTTGATCCTCCAGAATACAATACAGAAATAATATAGAATTTTTTTTGCTGTAATCGGTTCGCTATGAAAATTTTATTTGCTCTGATTTTTTGTGTGGTGAAACACGGGCGCCCAAATACCTGCCAGCAGAATGAGCACTACTTGATCTCTTACACCAATGAGGTAATCCTAAAAATCAATTGTCCAGCATATTTCCCAGGTACAACAATGAAATATTTATCGGATTAAAGGCTCGTTTCTTTCATTGCCAAGGAAACCTTTATGCAACAGCTCCAAATGCTGAAACGTTTTACTAGACAGTATTACCAGTGGTGTAAATCCAGTTCATATTTTCAACAAAACTCTTGAGTAGTGTCATGTGGCGAAACTATAATGTCAACCTCCGCAACGCCTTTCATATACTACTCACTCAAATCGGATGTATTCAAGTGACGCCGAGGCAAATTCCTTCAAATTAGACACCAACTGAAATATCTAACTAATCGAAAAGCTAATTAAAATAAAATATCTTGCAAATCAATTCAAATATGTCGTTTTAGTTCAACTAAACCACGCTATCCATAAACAACGTTGTTTTTCCGAGCAGTTTTTTATTGCAATTCTTCAATAAATTTGCCATAGGAATGTGTATATAGTCGATCATTAACCAATTTAATGCCTCTCGCCGAGGATTGTCGACATGCAACAGTTGGTTACACCAATAAAAACTTAAAAAAAAAATCAGCAGTATGAATTCGCACATGATAAAGTTAAATAAATCGCGAGGTTTGATAATAAATCGCGAGGTTCGCACCAGTATGAAATTGCACATAAGGTTAAATTAATTGTTAGGTTTTTCATCAGTATGAATTCGCACATGACAAGGTTAAATGAATTGTTAGGTTTTTCACCAGAATGAATTCGCACATAAAAAAGTTAAATGAATTGTCAGTTTTTTTACCAGTATGAATTCGCACATGATAAAGTTAAATAAATCGCGAGGTTTTTCACCAGTATGAAATTGCACATAAGGTTAAATTAATCGCTAGGTTTTTCACCAGAATGAATTCGCACATGAAAAGGTTAAATGAATTGTTAGGTTTTTTTACCAGTATGAATTCGCACATGATTAAGTTAAAAAAATTGCGAGGTTTTTCACCAGTATCAATTCGCACATGATTAAGTTAAATAAATTGCGAGGTTTTTCACCAGTATGAATTTGCACATGATAAGGTTGAATAAACGCGAGGTTTTTGGCCAGAATAAATTCGCATATAATGAGGTTAAATAAATCGCGAGTTTTCTGGGCACTATGTATTTGCAGATGATAAGGTTAAATGAATAGAGAGGCTTTTCAACAGTATGAAATCGCATATGATAAAGTTGAATAAATCGTCAGGTTTTTCACCACAATGAATTCGCAGATGAGGATAAATAAATCGTGAGGTTTTTGACCATAAACAATTTGCACAATTATGATGAAGTTAAATAAATCGCGAGGTTTTTGGGCAGAATAAATTAGCCTATGACGAGGTTAAATAAATCGAGAGGTTTTTCGATGTCGATATGATAAGTCTGTTTACATCACTAAACTACGCTTGCCAAAGATAACGTTATTTTTTTAAGCAATTTCTAAATGCAAGTCACCAATTAGTTTGCCATAAAAATGCGTATATAGCCATGAACCAATTTTACGACCATAAACAGGTTAGTCACATCATCAAAAAAAAAAAAAAAAAACTTCTGATATAATTGTAAACTACCACAGCATCGGTGTTACTGTAACCATGGGACGAGACGACGCTAGGTATATTTTGAGACTTTTCGAACTACATAGTCACAAACACAGTGATGCTAAAATTATTCTTCAACAAATTATAGATCAAATAAATCCCAAGGAAAAACGCTCAATGAGTCTATCGAAACAATAAACAACCGGCTTACCAGTACTCAAACCAGTACTTAAATTTATTATCTAATTCAAATAACGTTTACTTTTCTTGTACAATCTTCCAGATTCATTCTTGTGTCTCGCTGAAAATCAGCCATTCTCTATTCCGTAATGCGAGAATCTCTTTATCATTTAGGATTCAACCTAAAGAAGAAAACAAGTCGGAATATATATATATAATATACGGTTGAATTTAACAGTAAAACACATTAGGTAGGTAAATTAATTAGGTACAAATTTTACAGACTTCTCAGCATGAAGTACACATAATTACCTTTGCATTATACATGCAAAATACTGTGAAGTTCGAGAATATTATCATAATTTCCAATTCTTTCCGAAATGAAGACTTATATGATATTGCAATCACTATAAATCAGTAAAAAATATAATATTACTTAAGAGGTAAAGACATAATTACCTTTGAATGTCGCACGCAAACGACAAGGAAAAGCCGATAAAAATGTCGAAGATATAAACGTCAGAAGCGAGACAACACCTGATTCAACTGAATGTAAACGGCAAGGTCGCAATCCTCAGCGAAGGACCACATGTAACGATTGCATTTTGGGTAATTTTGGTCGGAGTCTATATTAATGGATGATATATTCGGAATCCACATTTTATATCCACATTTTATTTTTATTTATGTTAAATGGATCGTGTGGTATTTCATCAGTATGGATTCGCGTATGACGACGTAAAATGAATCGTGAGGATTTTCACCAGTATGAACTCGCACATGATGAGGTTAAATGAAACGTGAGGATTTTGGCCAGAATAAATTTGCATATGATAAAGTTAAATAAATAGCAAGGTTTTTCACCATTATGAATTCACACGTGATATAGTTAAATGAGTTGTTAGGTTTTTCGCCACTAAGAATTCGCATATGATGAGGTAAAATGTATTGTTGAATTTTTCACCAGTATGAAACCGCATATGATGAGGTTAAATGAATTGTTAGGTTTTTCACCAGTATGAAATACCATATGATAAGGGTAAAATGAATCGCGAGGTTTTTCACCAGCATGAATTCGCATATGATGAGGTTAAACAAATCGTGAGGTTTCTCACCATTAATAATTTGCACATGAAGTTTGAATGAATTGTTAGGTTTTTCACCAGTATGAATTCGCATATGATGAGGTTAAATCTATTGAGAGGCTTTTCACCCGTATGAATTCTCATATGATAAGGTTAAATAAATCGTGAGGTTTTTCACCAAAAAGAATTCTCACATGATGAGGTTGAATGAATCGTGCGGTTTTTCACCAGTATGAATTCGCACATGATGAGGTTAAATAAACTACGCTATCCAAAAATAACGTTATTTTTCGAAGCAACTTCACCAATTAATTTGCCATAGAAATGTGTATATAGTCGGTCATAAACCAATTTGATGACTCGTCGAAGACTGTCAACATGCAACAGGTTAGTTACACCAAAAAAAAACTTGAGAAACTTGTGATATAATTATCAACTTAAACAACATCAGTGTAACCGTGAGCATGGGTCAACCGCTAGGTAGCTGTTAAAACTTACCGAACTACATAGTCACAAACACATTGATGCTAAAATTATGTTTCAAGTAATACTCCTACTCTAAATAAAATCCCGAGAAAAAACGGTCGAAACAATTATCCCCACTGGCTTACAATGTTACTACCAAGCATCTTTTCATGGCGAACCAGTACTTGAAAGTATCATCTAATTCAAATAACGTGTACACATCTTGTAGAATCTTCCAGATTCATTCTTGTGTCTCGCTGAAATTCGCCATTCTCTATTATGTAGCGCGATAATCACTTTATCTTATATGATTTAACCTAAAGAGGTAAAAGATTAAGAGCATTGAATATATATACATTTATGCAAATTATATATTGTTGGAATATCGGTAATATCCACAATATACATATATATACATCGGCGGCATTACATTAGTATCGACAAAAAGTTGCCTTTGTCATCTGCTCAATAAACTGAAAAAACGAATCTAAGCTAATTCCACAACCGAAATCTATTTCTGAGTAATGTTTTACCTATGCAACACTAATATCTAACCATTCCCTTATGAAAACACATAAACCCTTTGGGGTTGCAATCAGTTCGAACAGGTTGTGTATACACTATTCTTTTGTCCCGTGCACAGATATGACGAATTCGGTGTATATTATTTGACGCTTTAAGAATGACCATAGTTAACCAGCCTGACACGAGCACCGGAGACCGCCCCTTTAAAAGTCGCTTGTAGCGTCATCAGGCGGCGCCAATGAAAAATAAAAGTTGCATGTACCACAGTGGTACGTTGGGCAGAAAAAAAAGCATTCTGCGGCAGAGAATGTGGGACACGGCTGATTTGTAATAAGCTGGTCCATACGTGTTACGCTTTTCCGGGAAAAGTTAGATAAATTTTAAGGTTTATCACCATTATGTATTAGCATATGATAAGATTAACTGAATCTCGGAAAATAGTAGGAAAATCCATAGGTAAGATACAGGGATGAGTAACCGCACAGAAAAGATTTGTTTGTAACTATCGCTGCTGCGTATCAAGTTACCTCCTATTTTAAAAACATTAGGATAGGAGCAAAAATAATTATTTCCCAGAAACAATAAAAACTCAAAAAATAAATTGCTAGTTCGATATCGATGATAGAACGATAATATTGGTATGAAAAAGTCAATTTTTGTGACAAGTGACATTGTAGGCCTGCCCTACATAGTTCCATAAAACAAATGATTGTGCATTTCAAAGCCGAATAGTCTAGACCAGTGTTTTCCAACCCGAGTCCGCGGTCTCAAATGAGTCCGCAACGAGTCAGAAATTCACTGCGAGCCGCAAACGTTTTTGCAAAACTTAATTAACTATTAGTCAAGTTAGGATTTGCGTTAGAATTTACAAAAAAAAAAAGTCAGTTTATTCACATGACATTAATCGCTTCAATAATTACTGGTTACTGAGTAGGGCTGGGCTAATATTCGAATATTCAAGTATTAGAATAGAACATTTACTAATCGAAAATTTGGTAACATGTGACGCGACAGGTCACTTGCGAGTCGCTTGATCAAACGATTGGATTCCACGACTCACTTGTGGATTTCCAACGAAAACAAGAGTCTGTACACGCTTCGATAGATTCGTAATAGGTGTTTCTCGCGAGTTCGAACAACGAGGAATAAATTATTTTTCTGGCAGGTGTAAATGGTGGCAACCCAAATATTCTAAATTGAAAAGCGGTCCGCGACCGATTAAAAACGCTTTTTTAGACATTGCAAATTGCAAAATTTCGGGTGCTACCGTACTATACATACCAGGGCATTTTCTTTATGATTATCTGCTTTACTGCCTCCACATTAGTCATGTCGCCCAGTAAGTACGCACAGTAGTAATGTCGAACTCACAAAAATACGAATCAAAATAAGATATATTCGAGCACTTTACCACGCATTTTTGCGTCCTCGGATTGTCATAGTATTTTCTGAGTAGTATTGCACTTATTTCGTCAACACAACCGCAGATTAAAGAATCACACATGTGAATGGATTGAATATTTTATGCAACAGAAAAAATCCATAAAAAGTCGGCTCTTTTAACGGGTGACGTATACGCGACGATTACTTCAGAAGTTGTTCGCAAGAATTTCAATGCGATGAATATGTATTTTCGATTTACTAATATATATACTTTATATATATTATTATTAAATACTAAATTAAGTTGTACATTCTGGAAATTTATAGCAGATAGTATGATTTTTTCTAACAGCGATAACAAATTAACAAGATCGCAAAAAATATGTATCAAAGCTTAATATAATCAGGCAATATATTCTCTCATTATTAGGTTCGCAGATGGCAGTGGAATTTTAAAAAAGTAATGGTTTCATCTTGTCGTAAGTCGACGCAACCGCGATGAACACAACTAAATTAAAATAGAAAGACATTTCAAATTCTCGTCGTTGTCATGGATTAAATACTGTGTGGCAGAATAGTCCATTATACACCAAAAAAGTCGTCTCTTTTAACGAACGCGTAATTGCGGCGAATTTCCGATTTTAAAATACGTTAAATTTCTGTTGTGTTTGGTTTTATTGCTTCTTTACGCAGAGTACGGTTGCAATAAACGCACCTTGAGTCCGCAAAGGTTTTCTCCGGTGAGAAAATAGTCCGCGAACAAAAAAGGCTGGGAAACGCTGGTCTAGACGAAGAAATTATAAATTTGTAGTGCCTATTACACTTTGTCTTTTGCGGCATAGTAAATTTTTATTCCACGATAGCAGGGACAGTATTCAAGCGACATGAATGGATTTCAAGCTGACCATAATATGTAAACCCGCGCGTGCCACTGAGGACCGCACATAAATTTTGAAGCAAAAAAAATGATCCAGGAGCGATGAAAACAATATATATAACGATAATATTAAAATAAAAAAGTTCGGCTGTTAGCCTCTCCAGCGCAGTTTTATAAATTAAACGACTGTGCGATTCAAAATAATATGCCTGCGCGAAAATATAGACAACCGACTGATCCGATGTATACTTTGTAGAATGAACAAGGACTGAACATTTGAATACTTGGAACAACTTTTTCTTGTTGCTCATGTGATATAATCAGAAAAATCTTGGACCGGACCACCCCAAAGTAATATTTTCAGTAAAAAATGATACAGGCGAAAATGAAATGATATTCCGACTTTTAACAATTGAGCTATATACAAGGGTGAATAACTTCACTCGAACCATTCGGATAAAGATGTCAGATTCTAAACTCATGATACAAGAAAACACTACACCAAAGCTTGTCTTCTTTCTAGCCTAACCAAGGGCGCAAGTCACGTGGTGGAAGTTTTCAGGAATCAAATTGACTTCAACTCATATTGTTCAGAATTACACTGCTCACGAAAGAAGTGTGAGTTAGGTAACAACTAGTATCACCAAGAGGTATGGAGTGGGTGTGATAGATCCGAGCCCTGTTGAACCTAATTATGATGTCGAGTTATAAAACCTGGTTCATAAAACCTGCAGCTATGGTACGGAGATGATTACTGATACTGGCCGGATGATGGAGATACTGGCCTCAAATTGAAAGATATATTTTGTGTAGATAATGTTTCAAATACTCTACTAATCACAAATTTTAATGTCTGAAAGCATATTGAAATCTTCGTTGTTAAAGATCGTTTTTTTTTTTTGTGTAAACAGACCAGATTGTAGATTCACAAGTTACGCGAAACCAATTCACTCCCGATCGTAATGAGACATATTTACGTTTGAACCTAATGACAGAATGTCTGACTATTTGATTGTCACAATCATCGATCAAATGATACCAACTTACAATGGTTAACATTTTTCCACATATCACATGTTATGAATTATTTATTATTTTGCAAGCTTTTTGTATTGAGATGTTTATACATGTATGTATTACCTTTGCAAAGCGTTACTCATTTACTTCCAACAAAGTACTCCAGAACCACTCTTACATCGTTATATGCGGTAACGTAATCGACATTGTAAATGATATATAGGACCTGTCGCCCTTCCAAATCTGACAGGTCCAACAATCCGATTTTTTCAAAAACATCAATAGAAACTGCAAGTTTTATGTTTTAAATTGCAAATGATCTTACTAGAGGTTGGAAGAAATGCTATTTACAATGTGAAAATAAATTTATAAAACTGTTCATTCCATATTTTTTATTCATATATTTCAATAACAATAAAATACATGTTAATATAACTATGATATGCTATATAATGTATGTAGTACACAATTTACAATTGATGTAATGCAAACGTATAAACGTAAATAAGTTCTTAAACACATAGATTTACTACCATATTCATATAGAAAAAACTATACCCAGGAACTAAAATCTGAAATCAAACAATATTTGACATTTATTAATTTTATTAAACAGGGTGTCCATAAAGTCACTCTACACTTCTAATTTTGTTAAGTTAGTTCTCAATATATCTTAATCAGGTTTATTATTTTCAGTAATTCAAATATTTTTACTTCATTTAGTACATCTGTGAGGCTCAAAACGATATATGGTATCGATAACAATGAAAGCCCAGAAAATGACTATTGTGACCAAGCAATATTGGTAATACGAAATTCGCTCAAAAATGAATTTAAAACTATCCTCATATTTGATACTAACTAAGCTAAAATGTAACTACTTATACATCTAAATACTAATAACATGATACAATATTGATATATATATAACACAATTCCCAATTATTTTGGCTTTATAGTCAAAATTAATCATTAACCATTGCGGTTTGAAACATATATTTATTCCTTTTTGTCACTTTGGGTTGGAAATTACTTTCTCAGTTCTTGCAGGAGTTTGTAACCCCCCGAACTTCCATGGAATATATGTCTGCATGTTTCTTCGAGTTCTTCTTGCTTATCTTTTGACTCATGAACTTTTGGATTCTGGCAATGTGAAGCTTATTTTTAGTTTTGTATTGTAATATATGAGTAACGATGTATGATAATGGATAGTTGACCTGGTATTCAATTGTAATTAACTAATGAATTACAACACGGTTCTATTCATTCAAGAAAAAAAAATCTAATCCAAGTTTTAGTCCAGAGTATATGTATGATACTACTAAAAAATTGCGTCATATATCACTTGCTTTTCAATAGGTAAATCATTATCTAACGAACACTGAGGCTGAAGATATGTTGCACGAGAGTACGTTTTCAACTAATACAAGATGTATTCGAATCGGTAAAAAAAATTGCGCGTCAGAGATTCTCAATTTGTATTCATTCTGATAAGTATGAGTAATTGAATAATACCAAAAAAACTTTATTTATAATGTGCTGCAAGTTTGTGCTTACTTGATTTAAAAAAAATAGGTTTTAATTCGGTTTAGATAGGATTTTGAAATCTTATCATATATTCAGAAATAGGTTATACGTGAAAATAACATCAAAACAAAACAAAAAATCGAATATGTCAACTTGTCTATTCGTTTTTAATTTTAACTCGAGCTTATTCAAAGTTCGACAAATGATAATTGAACAATTTTAGAAAATTAAACTTTTCTGTCACTCAACTCAAATGAACAGAAATATATATGCTTGTCAAACAATAAATATCAATAAATTAGGGCCCTATTTTTGTAGAAGAAGTTTATAACCTTGTTAAATTTTATCCATTTTGTTATTTCTTCGCACTTTTCTAACACTTTCGCTTTGTTTTTTTCGGTGACGTGTTTTAATCGTGGATCGTCGAACGAATGTTTGACAGAATACATGAAGTCCTCAAGCTCGTGAACTTTATCACAACGTGACTTCCACTCGGTATCTTCTTTCTTGAGTATTTCAGCTCTTTCAACCTGAATAAGATTGCAAATGCACATTCATGACGTTGAATACTTCGACAATCTATAGATTCTATACTATAGGAATATTGCATTTTACATTCTATCTAACCCAGTGTTTCCCAACCCGAGTCCGCGGTCTCAAATGAGTCCGCAGAGCGTTTGAATGAGTCCGCAACGAGCCAGAAATTCACTGCGGGCCGCAAACGTTTTTGCGAAACTTATCCTTCAGCCAAATTACGATTTACGTTAAAATTTACATATAACATAAAAAGCAAGTTTATTCACATAACATTAATCGAGTCAACAATTACTGGATACTGAGTAGGACTGGGCATATATATGAAAATTCAACTATTAGAATAGCAATTTACTATTCGAAAATTTGGTAACAGGTGAAGCGACAGGTCACTTGCACGTCGCCTAATCTAACTATTGGATTTCACAACTCACATGCGGATTCCCGACGTAAACACGAGTCGGTACACGCGTGGTTAGCTAAGTGGCGTTTCTTGCGAGCTCGAACAGCGAGGAATAATTTTTTTCATGTGGCAATGGTGGCAACCTAAATTTTCCAAATGGAAAAGCGGAAATACAAAAAATAAAACGTAAAACACCATAAGTTTTGTTTTATGATGGTCCGCTACCGATTAAAATCGCTTTTTAGACATTGCAAATCGCAAAATGTCGGGTGCTACGGTAGTATACGTATCAGGGCATTTTCCCTTAGGATTCTTTGCTTTACTGCCTCCACATTGGTACGTACATTATTGGAGTGCCGTAAGTGTTGTACGAACAGCTCAGATTTGTCGAATTTACAAAAATAAGAAATAAAACAAAATATAATCGGGCACTTTACCACGCATTTTTGTGTCCACGGATTGTCATGGTATTTTCTGAATAGTATTGCTTTTAGTTCGTCAACACAACCTCATATTATAATGATCACAATTAAATTAATATTAAAGCAAGGCGATGAATAGTTTTTTTGATTTACTAATATACTTTAATCACGTTTTCAATAAGTACTAAATCAAGTTGTACTTTCTGGAAATTTATAGCAGATAACAAATTCTGAAGATCGCAAAATATATTTAACAAAACTAAATATAATCGGGCCATATATTGTCACATTAATATGTTCTCAAATTTTCGTGGCATTTTAAAGAAGTAATGCTTTCATTTTGTCATTAGTCGACGCAACCGCGAGCCATGAACACAATTAAATTAAAATAGAAAGACATTTTAAATTCTTGTCGTTATCATGGATTGGTTATTGTGCGACACAAAAGGCCATTTATACACTAAAAAAGCTCGGCTCTTTTGACAAACGCGTAATTGCGGCGAATTTCCGATTTTGAAATTCGTTAAAATTCTGTTGTGTTTGGTTCTATTACTTCTTCACACGGGATACGGTTGCAATAAACGCACGTTGAGTCCGCAAAGGTTTTTGCCGGTGAGAAAATAGTCCGCGACCAAAAAAGGTTGGGAAACGCTGATCTAAACAAACAGATTTTCAAATTCCGATCAAACGTTATCGATTAAATAAACCTTCGTAAAGTTCTAATATTGTAAAACTGTGCACAATATATAGATTTTATAGCATATGCTATAACGATATACGAAGGGTTGCTTTCTTTTATATACACAGAAGTTGCAGTGGATTTAGAATACGCTAATTCAGTGTGCGGGTGAGTAGCATCGACATGTTACTCAATTTCATTTGAAAATCAGATTCTGTAGAACAAAAATGATGCTCACCATCGCTGCAACTTCTTCAGCGCTAAGTCTACTTTTGTTTCCAACTGTGATATATTTTGACTTTCCAGTGCTCACGCTATGGTCAACTACAGTTAGAATTCCACTAACATCAAGAGAAAAGCATGTACGAAATTCTTCCACGCCTTTAAGCGCTGAAGGTACATCAATAGATATAGTTCCGAGATAATGATTGTCATCGGCAGCAGATCTTTCTCCTTCATAAAGCTTGGTAAAAGGATTACAACATGTTTAGTTCTAACCTGACAGTGCGGGCATACGAAGTGTTAATAAAAAATATTTGCGAAAAATTAAAACAGGGTTCAATCATGTTCACAGTCACAAAACTTTTGCTTGATTACCACTGAAGTAGAGTAAATTTTAGACAGCTAAGTAATATTTAAGATGCTTAAACGTGGTTGTTTTAGGAGCCAACGCCGTCAAAATGTCCGCGTTAACAAGGTGTCCACCAATCGTATCGTGTAAAATAATTCACTAGGAATTCTGGAGTTTCAGGTCTAACACATATTTGTTTTTGTAATAGGATACTAAGACATAAATATAAACTTTGATAATGGCTTTAGAGCAGTGGTTCACAATCTTTTTTATATCGCGGCACACTATTGAGCTACTCAATAATTTGCGGCACACCCATCACAAAACATGAACATTTTCTATTTATAAAACCAAATGGTTAATAGTAACCGATATTATAACTGTTTTATTACAATAATAAGGTACACACAAAGTGTATTTGGAGCAACTCACATTAATGTTAAAGATACGCACCGCGCGGGTAATACGTGGTCTCCAAACGCAGCGCCAATCACGCTTTTCGGTTTAGCTCGCCCTCTCCCGCTCCACGTTACGCCCTTAATGCGAACGCTGAAATTTTTCTCATATTCCTAGGAGAACTATGCGTTCATATCGGCGACATATGTTGAAGACATATTAAGTGGTGAGTTAGGGATTTGATTCCGGTTTCTATCTCTTGCACCGGCTTTAAACTTTCTCGTCGCCGGTTGTAAATTAACTGTGCCAATTTTGAGCTAATAATATTATGCGTGTTGGTGTTGGTGCGCTATATGCAAAACTAAGAGTTGAAACAATATGCAAATACAACTCATCAAATTTGTCGTCTCCATTAGTTAGCAAGAGCCGTGGGGTAATTCTTGCTGAATTCAAGGGATCGGTTTAGCGACACCTGGGTTCCGTGACCAAGCAAAGTGGCGGCCTAGGTACTGGACATACAAATAGTGAAATGACATGCTAATACTTAATAGAATGACATCGAAAGGTTATTGTTAACGATACACGAATCAGAGAAGGTTCCAAGCGTCACCCGTTTATAGTGCTTGGCTTTCATTGTGACTAAATATCTGAGTAGCTTAGTTACTCTCATGTTCTTTCCAAGTTTTGAATTTCTTGGAATAAATTCAAACATGAAACATCTTTACGGCACATCAAAATCATTTCTCGGCTCTCTAATGTACCGCGGCACGGCGGTTGGGAACAATTGCTTTATAGGATATAATGAAGTTTATAAACCAGAATTATACAAACCTTCATAGTTGCTTTAGTTTGATTATCATGAGCAGTTCGCGATTTGCACCATTTTTCTGTTGGTATTTTTGTATTGCGCTTAATCACTGGAACCATGGCTCCTTTCGAATTTTTCCAGCCGATAGAAAGTGGCGCCACGTCTTTAAGTGTGAACTATATAAACAGTAAAGTGATTTGAATAAATTAATTGTGATTTCAAATTTTATATGTTGATGAAACAACAATACATTCTCACCCACAGCCACGACGGCAATGTGGAATTACCACATATCTTTATAAAATAGAACGTACGTTTTCCGTCCTATAACTCGGCTCTCGGCAAACCAAATAAGATATTCACTCATTATACTAAGTAGCTATCCGAGCAATTTGTCACGTAAGCATTTTGAGCAAACACTTGACATTTGTAAATACGTTATAGTCGACAAACATGCCATAGGTGCTAAAGAAGATAAATGATAACATTCCCAATCAAACAAGCAATCTCGCTGAAATACCATCAGTCAAGTATAAAAAGTGTAAAACCCATAATATTTAGGAATTTTGCACCATTTGCGAGTGCACCATTCGCATTACGTTGCGAGTATTAGCCATATTCTCAGCAAAGAAGCCATGATCAACATTGTCCAAGCGAGTATTTCTAATACTCCACCAACAATTATTATATAACCATACAAATTAATATGATAACAATTAACATTAACAACTAACTTATTCAACGATAAGTCTACTTTTGTTTCCAATTGTGATTTGTTTTGACTTTCCAGTGCTTACGCTGTGGTCAATTACGGTTAGAATTCCACTAACATCTAGAGAAAAGCAGGTACGTAACAACTAACATAAGCATCGGGGGTACCACTCACACAAACTTCTTTATCTTATGTAACTTGTTTAACCATTATGTAGTGCGATTATATATTTTACAATGCAAACAAAATGCATATATTACAATTTACTAATATTAAAGTAGGAAACAATAGTAAATACAGCTACACAGTTTATGTGTTGGTATACCTTTGGTGGCAAATCCTCTGAACATATGAGTGCTGCCAAAGCAGCGGCTCCTTGCGCAACGGCCTCATCTGGATTTACACTTCCGTTTATTTTTTCTTTCCCAAAGAAATTTTCAATAAGTTTCCGAATTTTTGGAATTCGGGTTGAACCTCCAATCAAGACGACGCTATTTATCTTAACAGAAGGGATGTTCATTAAAAGATTTAAGCTAATATAGACAGAATTAGAACATAAAAACGCATTTATTTCACTAAAATATAAATTACTTGTCAGAGTAATTGTAAGTTTTACCCAAAAATGAAAAATTTATGAATAAGAGGAATAATATTTGAAAACCAAAAATTTAAAAATGATTTATTTAGTAGTTGTTGAAGAGAAATAACAAAAACAAAAGATTTCAAATTTGTCTATTTCTCGTCGTGTTTGAACGCAACAAGCATGTTTTCCACAATATATTTTAAATGCATTATTTTGCTTTAGATATAACCATTGAAAATTGATCAAACTTGTTTAATATTTGTTTGCAAGCACTTTATAGTACATTTGGGCTTTGATATAAATTTGAATTAATTCAGGACGTTTTTGTTATATCTGGTTATATTTTTCTGTAATTGATAAATGTACATATTCACATACATGGTGAATAGATCAAATATTTTTTACATTTTTGTTTTACCTGATCGTTAGTCATGTTTGCATCTGAAAGTGTATCTTTGATCGTCTTCATGACTTGTGAGAAAAAATTGCAGTTCAAATCTTCGAACTTTGCTCGACTAAGTTTGCTTCTTATATGAAGACCATTAAAAATCCCATCTACTTGAATTCTGATAGTGTGTAACAAAAAAACAAAAAGTAATACCAAATAAAAATTATAAATCACTTTAAAAGCAGAATCAATACCAAATCACTTACGTTGCAATAGTCTTTACTGAAAGCAGCTTTTTCGCATATTCGCAGGCAAAGCGTAGTCGAGAAACTCCCACTTTGTCATTTGACATGTCACATTTGTTCATACTATTGAATTCAGCTACAAAGTGTTCCACCAACACATTGTCAAAATCATTGCCTAAGCAAAATAAATAAAATTATGACGCATTGTAAGCAAACGTGTTGAAAATAAAAAATTCTGAATTAAAATATTTGTCCTAGTTTGGCCGATGGGCCTGCACGCCAAAAAAATTACAAATTTAGATTAATATATGTTTGTTACCGTATAATTGTTACCTCCCAAGTGCGTATCTCCTCCAGTAGCTATCACGTCAAAAACACCCTCCTCAATATTGACAATGGTGACGTCAAATGTACCACCTCCTAAGTCAATTACAATCACCGTTTGCTTCTCTTTGTTCTAGATGGCAATCAGTATCAAAGTTAATGGTTGCCACCTTGGCGTGTTTAAGTCACGATGAACTTCTTCTTATAGGAAAACAAATTATAAAACAAATGGGAGAATTGTACCCAAATATAAAGCATCAAATATTTTTCTCTGAGTTTGCTTTCAATTTGACTGTTGGTAACAAAATAATTTACTTAGAACGCAATTGTTATCCTTATGTACAAAATGCTTAATTTTAATTCAAGTTTTAAATTCATTAAAGCAAAAACTAATAACTTGACCATTGATGAATGAGCATCACGCTTGCCATAGCATTCAATAATGAACTGCGCGTATATGCAGATTTTCATTCTGTTGAGGTATATTTATGTAATAAATGAATGATAAATCACTCGCTGCAGTATGTTCGCGTAGCTGCTGGAAATTATGTTTTCAAGCCAAGAATGATAGGCTGCATTATCACCTCAAATTTTTGCCCATTCGGTTGAAAATGAATACTCTATAATCAATTTTCTATATATATATTCACCTCTTGGTCCAATCCATAGGCGATGGCCGCAGCAGTTGGCTCATTGATAATACGTAGAACGTTGAGTCCCGCAATAATTCCGGCATCTCTTGTTGCACTCCGTTGTGCATCGTTGAAATAGGCTGGCACCGTTATCACAGCATCTTTGACTTGTTTACGCAATTTAACTTCAGCTGATATTTTTAAAGACTCGAGAACCATTGCGCTTATTTCCTCCGGAGAAAATATTTTACGCCGACTAATTGAAATAACCTGAACATTGATAACAGAATCGTGTATTAGAATAAAAAGTAATGAAATATCTAAAATCTGAAAGAATGTTGTTTGCTGTAAACACAAAATTGTTTAACGATTTGGAGCGTAAGTGTGGTGTTTGTTATATAAAGCGAAAAAAATTCATTTTCACAATGAATTCACTCCACGTGTATTATGATTTGAAATTCGAGGATTAGCTTGAAGATGGCAGATGTCGCCACATGGTGTTGTTCAGCATTTTCATTTATTTTATGACAGATAGATAGTCACAACATGTATTTAATTTTTGAATTGTTTAGTATATAGTTCAACTTTGTGTAAAAAGCTTAATATTTAATATAATTATAAATTTTAATACGGGTATTTTTGGCCTATTATCTTCATTGATAACGGTGAATCCCCACAGTTTCATGTCAGCTTGTACAATTGGATCATCATAGGTTCGACCGATCAACCGTTTGATTTCTGAAATATATTAAAACTTATAAAAGCTACTTGTGTATGTATTGAAGTCCAATGAAAGAGCAATAAAACGTTTTCAAAACCAATTGTTTTTAGATATAACAATTTGGCTGAAAATAACAATTGGTGGTATTTTGAGGGTCTTGAATAAACTTAAGAGTATTCTTATGAATACCGTGGCGGATTTAAGTTAACGGATATTATTATTTTATTTGGGATTCAAAACATTCAAAAAATTAAATGTAAAATAACACTTACCGAACAAACTGTTTTCAACATTGAAATGCGCTTCTAGTTTTGCGGCATCACCTACTAGCCTCTCATCTTCAGTGAACGATACAAACGATGGAGTTACTCGATTGCCCTCGAAGTTTTCAATGATTTTAATCTGCAGTATATAAAATATTGTAGGATTTTAAATTTTAATCGTACAGTGGTTTAAATATTTGTGTAATTTATGATTTTATTTTATTTTGAGTTCGAAGTTTTCTTTGATAATACAAACGTAAACGTACCTGATTTTTTATATAAACGCCTACACATGAGTTCGTTGTACCAAGATCAATTCCAATAGCTGACATAACTATAATTTTGTATTCTTAAGATCTATGATATCAATGCAGAATTAGTAGTTGCCTAGCAGTTCCTCAGGAGTTTTTTGTTTAAAAGGAAACATCATGCATAATGATACGGAACTAAAGTCAAAGCCAAATATGACAAAAAAAAAACATATTGAAATTGCCAAATAATCAAGACCACCTACTTTATAAAAATTCTTGATTTATTAATACATGGAATTGAGTCACGTGACTTCAGCAGTGTTGCATGCCCTACAAAACATTTTTGCAATTCCTGCCTACTGGAATTAATTTTCTTTCTGATGAACTGGGGTGATCTGGCTGTACATTACGATATTATAACTTCACTACGATTTGTCACAAATATTAATGTCTAGTCTACTGGAGTATTCGGGCTGCGCATTACAATATTATACCTCTACTACTAAAAACCTTCACCTCGAATTACATTAATATAGACCACAAATATTCTCTCAAAATTAATCCCTCATTCATTTGGCAGCAAACTTGGGGACAACAAAAAATTGCTAAAGAATATTCAACACCTAATATTTAAAGTTGGGTTAAATTTTATTTCTAAAGTTTTTAACATTACATTCGGCCCGACTGATCAATGTTTAAATGTATACATGAGCGTGAAATCAACACATTTAAATTGGCTACCAGATTGAAAAACGCAATGTAATAATTTAACTGTAAGGCACTTCAAATTTTTCAGCTTCTTGTAACGCACATGATTCTGCTACATTACTCAGTTATAACACATATCTATATGGTTATCTCTATAACACATATTTTATGGTCCTAGCCCAGGTAAGCGCAAACGTTCTATTTGATAAACTTGTAGCTGATGAATTAGACAAAGTCATATGCGCATTTGCAGATAAAATATTTTTTCAAATAAAAGGCTCATATATATGTGCTATACAGAAATGAGTGAACCACTGCCCTGAGACTTACTCAAATTAAATGTTTGAATACACCTTATTGAGTTTACACCGATCAGACTAATCTATGCTCCCAACCTTTCATAATATATATTTTAAACTAGCTTGCGTAATACTACATTTAACAATTTCGAATATAATTGCATCTACCTAATCCGAATTATCAATAAGTAAACGGAGACAGTCAACAAATACTAAGAATTACTTATCAAGTGTATGCTTTGCCAGACAGTTGAAGCATTTGTTCGCGTGACAGTACTTTTTTCAAATATTTATTCAAATCTCTGTCACATGAATATTCGAGAAACTCGATGGCAAATGGCTGTTCTGGATTTTCCGATCATATCTAACATCTACATAAACCAGTTTACTGCATACAGCGTGTTTATTTTTCCGATTTGTTGCTACTTTCTTCACATAAATTGACTTTTTGCTTACGTAACTTACCAATACTTAATTTCGTGTAAAATTCAAGATCCATTATCAATTCCGAGTTTTGTTGACTTTTACTGGATAGATTGAAATTCGATTTTTTGTCCAACACTACCGAGTCCACTTGTGACTTCTGTCGCGTATGTTCTTATTAATGAAATTTTGAATAAGACATTGTAATGTGATCCACTCTAGTATTCTTTAAAATTGTAACTGATATCAAGCTGTCGTTTAATGAATTTTAGGTTTCGAAAGTGTCTGTTATCTTATCTGGTCGATATAAACATTTTGAGCTGTTGACAAATCGTGTCCATAATTAAATATATCAGAAATATAACGAAAGTCCGCTTTTCTTCTCAACTATTCAAACGAGAATATCGGTCAGAGACCGAAGACTTATCGATCGAAAGTTAGGGGATCCCCCAAAACAGCGCTCTTACTCCATAGTGATACCTTGTGTCCCATCCCTAATTAATAAATAACTCGCTAATTATACGACATATTTCATCCAAAATAGGCTTGTGTTACGACATATGATGAATGCACATGCAAAATCTGGAGCAGATTCAATCTCGCTTTCCTGAGATATCTCAAACAGACAAACAGACAAATACCTATCAACATACTTACCGATTAAAATCGATAAGTAACAAACGAGATAAAACGGTTATAAACAAAGCTATAGATGGCAGTAGAGAGTCGATAAGAAACATGTCAACCGGAAAATCGTATTGCGGAAAGGCGAAGTGGTGGTTTCCCTCGCATGATTAGATGAAAATTCGATTTTTACTTGCCAAAATTTAAATTTCACAAATCTATTAATAAGTATCTTATTACTCTCAAGTTACTGTCAAATTTTACTAGTATGAGTTTATTTCTATTTGTTTTGCATATTGTCGCGGTGTCGCTGCTCAAGGACCTGCACAATAGTTCTACTGACTTCCTCAACCTGCTATATTATGAGTCTTTTTGTAATTTCGTAATTTTAAAAACTAAAGTTGAATCATTTTTCAACAGAACCCAAAATTTAAAGAGTAAAGAAAAAAGCAAGAAGAGCTCGAAGAAACATGCAGACAAATCTTTAGTAGAATTTCAAGGGGTTCCGAATTTCTGCGAAATCCTAAAAAGTGATCCTCAATTAAGACAAAGCTGATTCAGTGATACACACCGCAAGGGTTGTTTCTCAATTTTTACCTTGAATAAAGATTACGAGTAATTCGGATTTGTAATAACCATAACTATATCTTTGTATTCTGTTATTTGTAATTAAAAAAATAATTGATCTCACCCCTAGAGATAGTGTTGAACTGATTTGTTGACTTAATTCAAAAGTTTTTTAGTTATAATGATCTTTTCTATGCTTCAACTATTATTTCAACATACAAAGGTTCAAAATCTCGTTATGTAATTTTTCGAAGTTGTATACATGTCCTTAACTTCATTGCTTCGAACTTTTATTAAGCAGACATCTATTTTTATTTTGAAAAAAAGACTATTATAAAACAGAAATTAATGAAATGTTTGATTTCACTCTTTACTAATATTTTATTTAATATATATATGATTATTGTAGCAAGCATATAGGTTATTAAAGTAATTTACGTTCATATGTTAGCATAGTTGGAAAATCCGTAATACGGATATTATATCGTATATAACCATTTTATTAACATCGGATTGCTAATAAAATGTACTCTGCAAAAATATGAAATGAACACTGTAATAAGAGTGTTTTCAAAGTATATGTTTCGGAGCCAGAATATTTTATATTTGCAACATAGAAGGCGAGCATATAATCTGGGTACGAATTTTTAAGAATTAAGATTTTTTTTATTCATATCAATTTGTGTTGTGGTTGATCATTAAGCTGAAGACTTGTACAATATTATTTGTGCGTTCTACAATGCCTAAAACATATTATTTTAACTTGTCTTGATCCCAAGACAAACAAGACACCATATATTTCATAACAGAATTGTCAATCTTGTCCCTCATCTAACAAAAAGAGCATGTCGGTTCTGAAAATTGTAAACAAGAATTTTCGTTCAAGTCGATCCATTCAAGGCCAGGGAGAAAACCTGTTTAGTTTACTAGTTCATTAGCTTAGCTCACAACTTATAAACTTATCACGAGACTAGTTTATTAATCAAGTAATAAAATAGCGATTTTGGAAAATTTCTACCTATTCAATTACGCCATTTTAATTTTATGGTGAGTTGCGGAAACATACGGCAGTATTCGAAGAATTTAACTAAACTTATCGATATCAAAAAGTTTTTGAAAAGCAATAAAAGGGCAATGAGTAAATCGTGACAAGAGATTTATATTTACTGAAACTGCTGTATCACAGCATAACACTCATGACAATATTTAGTGTTGTTTTTAGTATGTCAAGTATAGCCATGTTCGAGAGCAAAATCTAAAATGATGTTTCAAACAGTTTTTATTTGGTAATGGACAAATCAGGAAGAGCCGAACGCGAATGCTTCTCGATCCCGAAATACATTACAAATCTCGCTGTGATTGCAATATATTTCACCAGTTTAGTTGAATAAACCTCTATTTGAATTTTCGTATTTCTGTAACAAACGTGATTCTGTTACTATATTCATCTCCAACTATGTGTATCTGGAAATAACTGGCTAACTTATTCCAATTTTTGTGGTCCTCCAAATAATCCACGAAGTCTCTAACCCATATTTAATAAACCTAGGGGTCATGAACGCGCTATTTGATAAGCTGATAGCTGAAAACCATTTGTACATATATTACTTTTCAAAATGTTAGATTTTTCAAATACGAAGACTTCTGAAACGCCTGCTCTCTATCAATTCCCAATTAACAACAACGTCCACGATATCACACATGGTGTTTTGAAATGGGTTCTGGTTTTCCAAAATATGAGATCAATACATATATGATAAACTGCTTGCCCGAAACTTGTTCAAAGTGAATGTTCGAATACACCTCATAAGTTTTTTAAACTGTTGAGTTTACACGGATCAGGCTAATCTATGCTCCCGCACTTTTATAATATGTATTTTCAATCAGCTTGCGAAATACTGACTGTAAAATACTCCGAATATAATTGCATCTATCTAATCCGAATTATCAGGGAGTAAAAGGAGACAACTAACAAATACCAAAAATTACCTACCTATCAATTGTATGGTCTACCAGAAAGTATTTACGAGAAGCTTTCTCCGCGTGACGGTACTACTTTCAAATATTTATTCAAAGCTCTGTCAATGGAATATTCGAGATATTCGACAGCAAATGATTGCTATAGATTTTCTAGGTGATATAAAGCTATCTCTTATTATCAGAAATTTTATGTCACGGAAGTGTCTGTAATCAATTCTTGTAGATAAAAATATTTTGATCTGTTGTCAAATCGAGTCTATACTTAAATATATCAGAAGTCTAGCAAAAGTCGGGCCTGTTTTTGTTCCAAACTGTATAAGTCTTTTAAATTATTTCGAAAACGCGAAATGTTTAGCCATTTCACACTATATATAAACCGTCCAATTAAATTTCCCAAAATGGATTCACCTCTACTCGTACAATAAATAGACTTGATCTTGTAACGCGATTCTCGACAATTTAATCAAAGCTTTTGATTTTTCAAGTACAATGAATCCAGTGATATTTGAATCCCAAAAAGTCGGAAAGATTGAGATTGCAGGAATTGTTCAATAATTAAACTGTTATTTTGAATATGTTTGAAATCCTATAAGACACGTGACGGCCGAGCCTCGTTCAAATATTTTCTTCGATAATTTAAAAATTGAAACAACCACATTTGTCTGGCGTATGTGGTGTGACTATTAATTCTCCTCAACTAACCAAACAAACAAGATAAAACGACTTTAAACAAAGCGATATATGGCAGTAGAGAGTTGATAAGAAACACGTCAACATGAGGGTCGTATTTTGGTATGGCGTAGAGGTGGTTTCCCTCGGATGATCAGCTCAAAATTCGATTTTACTTGCCAAAAGACTAATTGCTGTTAAATGTTTTGGTAAAGCAAAATAAAAGCCAGGAGAGTTAAAAAGGGTTGTTTGAGTGCAACGCAAATCAGGTGTAAATTTGATTCTACTTGCCAAAAGATTATCTATCGCTGTTAAATGGTTAGGTAAAGCAAAGTGAAAGCCAGACGGATTTAAAATAGTTGTTTTGGGGCAAATGCGGAAAAGTTGAAGCCATTAGTTAATGTTGTAGCAAAGATCGTTATGAAAAGCCAAAAGTAAATGTTATATACAGAGTGTATATGAATAGGTAAATTCTCAATTGATCATTTATAACTATTGAAGTCAAAAAGATATTCGTGTCTACGAGTCAATTCGTTTTTTTGTTTTTCAAAGACACGCTCTTTTCTTCCTTTGAGTTTACTCTTGATTTAATTAAATTACTAAAAACCCTATACATTCGCATATAGACTGTGCATTATTGCAAGGTATCAAAAGCGGAAGACTTAACTAGATCTCGTGATCGCCCATTGCGGTAGTTCAGCAATGGTGACATTCCGAATGCCAGAGCTTGAAATGAAACCAAAATTGTTATAAAAATCGATGATATAGAGCAGTGGTTCTCAACCTTTTCGTCTTTGCGGACCCTTCTGGTGCTCTCAGAGCGGTCGCGGACCCCTCAAAAGTTTTTTTAATTGAAATTTAGTTTATAGCTTAAACAGCAACCTAATGTTCCATATAGATTCAACCAAATCAAAAATAACGCCAAACTAGTGGACATTTTCATTTATTTTGTCAAATCGAATACACTTAATGAGATTTCTGCTGTTGCATATCAGAAGCAAGTCTTAAAATACGTGGTCGTGTTTTTGATAACGATAGACGCATATCGTCTTCGACGTTTAGTTGGTTACGAGCCTTGAATTTGATATAAACGAGAGCAGAAAATGCATTTTCACAAAGGTAAGTGAAGGCGAATGGAACAATAACGCGAAACGCGATACTTTTGGGTACGACGGCAAAATGGCACACCAAAACTGAGAAAGTGATCACTGTAGCTACGTGCTCGTATTTATCATTGTGATGTCATAACCCGTATTTGTCACAATAAGTCTACGGGAGATGGATCAAAATAATTTTTGTAGGCTATTGTCACATTGTCATAGGCAGCAAATTTCCGAGCGTATTACAAAAAAAAAACGATATTGAACTGTAAATAATTTCCTAAAATCCTAATTTAATCGCGGACCTCCTGGAAATGCTTCGCGGACCACTGGGGGTCCGCGGAACCCCGGTTGAGAACCACTGATATAGAGTCTGTATAATGTCTGTCCGTTTGCGAATGAGATGGATGTGTAAAATACATAGCGAAAATATCGAGTAGTTTACTAGCTTTTAGCATAATGAGGTACAATATTGCAACATTACTCAAAATCTAATATTTATATAAAGATACATTCCAAATTCACCTATTTTTGTCTGATAACCTCTCAGTGAAGTGAAATGCCGGCAATTGGAATCGATCTTGGAACTACTAATTCATGTGTTGCAGCATACAGAAATGATCGGGTAAGACGGATATCATGCATTTACTTGTCAAGACCGTTTATGCAATTGGACCATGTAAAATATTAAGTGGAGAATAAAGATTTTGTATTTGTAAAGATTTGTATGTTTTTAGTTCACTTGGATGATAAAGTTATACATGTCTTACTAAAAAACTGTATTGGCGGTTCACGAAACTCAATATTCACGCATTGTAATATTATTTGTTAATACAACATGAGGAAACAAAATCAAATAAAATATATACATATATAAATATACAAGAATTATCCAGAAAAGTATTTGATCAATCAAGGAAAAGCGCGTGCCTAACTGTGTATTGTTTAATTGTGTAAAATAATATCAATAATAATAATGTTGAAGGAATTAATATAGCATTGCTGTTAATGCGGCTATTCAGAAAGGCCCACTGACAAGTGCCGATACTATTTGGTGCATGAGTTTCCAAACTGGGGTACATGTACCCCCAATGGTTCATTTGGACTTTTCAATGGGTGCATTAGATTGAGTATAAAGATATTATTTCCATAACTTCTAATTTGCCTCATCGACTGATGTTAATAATTTTAATATCTATGTCAAGCGACTCCTTCGAGTCACATTTCACCCCAGTAGAAACTTTAACATTCGTCTACATTCACAGTTCATAAATTTTGTCTAATGAATTACCGCACGCAAGGCAATGTTGGGGTACCCGAGCGATCTATAAATGGCCCAAAGGGCACCTATACCAATTGAGTTTGGGAAACCCTGCGTAATACAATATATTAATAAGCTCAATTGGGAAATTCTAGATAAAATTTGACAAATAAAACCGCTATTTGGTATATTTTGTACAATATTCTAAGTCTTGGAATGGGAACTTTTATCACCTAAATATTGAACAGGTTGAAATCATAGCGAATGATCTCGGGCATAGAATAACTCCATCATTTGTTTCATTTAACGACGATGAAAGATTAGTTGGACATGCCGCAAAGGAAGAAGCGTCATCTAATTTTGAGAATACTCTTTTTCGTAAGTCACTTGTCCATATTAACAATCTGCTAATAATATTCTATGATATCGCAGTTTGCTTGTTATCTTTGCTCCACCTATATTACTATAAATATAAATGGTAATGATACAAGGGGTATCAAATAATTGAATTCGATTATTTTTAAACATCTCACATGAATAAATATACGCAGGAAAATATTTTCAATTTAGTAAGTCATCGATAAAAATGCAACTTGACATTTTCAGAAATAAAGAGACTGATTGGGCGCCCGTACGACGATCCTGTTGTGCAAAGTGATAAGGAATTATGGGGATTTGAGGTTGTCAACAAAAACAATAAACCTACTATTTCGGTGAGTTATTCTTATTGAATTTAATGGATAACCACATCATAGCACTACTGTGCCTATGGTCTAATAGGCGTTTAGAATTTACTCGAGGTCTAAGTTCATAGTGCGGACTATAGGAGATGAATATTCAACAAATGCTTTGTGCCCAAAGTTTTCCAAACTAGCTGATAAAAGACTAATGGTTGAGGGCAACAGTCGAATTTATTTTGGAATGTCATTTTATCGGTTTTGGTTATTTTCACGGTATAATTTGGCTGCTTATTAAACGTAATGTCAATAACACATTGAATCTTTTTATCAATTTAATGTATTCAAATCTAAGTCGTATATAGCATTCGTAGTTTTATTCTCGTTCCATCAATTATAACTTTCTTTCATTACAGATAAAGTACAAAGGCCAGCGAAAAATGTTTTGCCCCGAAGAAATCAGTGCAATGGTTCTCGAATCATTAAAGCAAACGGCGGAAGATTTTTTGGGCGAAACTGTTACAGATGCAGTTATTACTGTGCCTGCATACTTCAACGATGCTCAGCGCAGTGCGACAAGAGATGCTGGGAAAATAGCTGGACTCAACGTTATTCGAATGATCAATGAACCAACCGCTGCAGCACTCGCATATGGCCTTGACAAAGAGGTTGGATCTATTTTTGTATTCTTGCGTTGATTTGTCCACGCACATTTAAGTCAGTTATCTGTGAATTCAGAATGTCATTTTTCAGATTAATTTAAAGGTAAAATGGTAATAAAATTCAAAGTGCATAATAACATTATTTAGTTCTCGCTTCGCTGTAGTAACCAGGCAGTATTTACGGCTTACCTATGTCGCGCAATGGTATATATAATATATAGGATATTTTTCTGGCTATTAGTTTACACTCACTGCAGGGATAGGAAGACAGTGAAAATGTCACATCTAGAAATGTTATGCTATTCTGAAAACTTTAATCTTCGTTTACTCATGATGATAAAATGACCACGCGTCATCTAATTCTCAGTACGTCACGCTTCTTAAGTTAACCTCGATTATGTATGGTAGGTGTTGTTGGCAACCCATTTTCTTATATCTCATAACGTATTATATTAACAGCGTGAGGGAGCGCAGAAAGTTCTTATCTTCGACCTTGGCGGTGGAACATTTGACGTAACTGTTTTAACTATCGACGGTAGAATATTCGACGTTCATGCTACTGGAGGAGACACGCATTTGGGAGGTATATTTGACGTAAAGTAACCACTTGAAAACAATGCAAGCATAATTCCCCGTTCCAATCATTTATGTTATATATTAAAATGTTTGTTATAAATCGCATAAAATTGTCGGCACTGTCTTATTACTACTCTTATCATAAAAGACGCATGGAGCACCCGTCATCACGCCCACACTCTAGATAATGAACATATAAAAATGAACCTTTTTTGCCTTCACGTAATCGAGCCACACCGTGGAACATGGTCGCACAAAATCCACTCGCAGTACTTTGTGCTGCCATAATGACGTAATCATAATAAAGTTTGATAAAATGACGCTACATTCTTATTGCTCACTTTCTCATCCAGTCGACACAAGATAAAATGAAATTTGGTTGATTCATATTAGTTAGCTAAATGACTTCGCGAGAGTTGTTGCATATAGCTCTGGGAAATGCCCGCGCAAATTTTGCTTAATGATATTATTTATTTAACATTTATTTTTATTTTGAACGATCAACTGCAATTAATCTGTGCATTTTATTCCCAGGTGATGATTTTGACAATCGTATGGTGGAATTTTTTGTGGCCGAATTCAAACGTATGAATGAAGATTGCCACTTTTCTTTGTCATCTAACAAAAGGGGAATGAATCGTTTGCGGATTGCTTGTGAAGCGGCAAAGAGGAAATTGTCGGTCTCTACCAAGGCTAAGTAGGCTATTTATTACATTGAAAGTTTTATAAATAAAGAAAATGTTTTATTATTGCTTGAGTAATAGCATTCTTGGAGAAAAGTATTTAATTATCACATATAATTTTGTGACATGTATTTGTGCATTTTTCTCCGCTTTAGGGACTTGAAGAGAATGAACCAAATCGGTATATTATATTCTGAAAATGATGATGATCTAGAATAGATTCTCGAGTACCTGCTGTTTTAGTTCAATTTATTTACACCTGTGATTTTGGCGATTGAAACATTCACATTTTCTCTATTCCATTTCTACGAAGGATACATATAGATGGGCTCCACGATGGCATTGACTTCGCCAGTAACATTTCTCGGGCTAAATTCGAAGAGCTCAATTATGACTTCTTTGCGAAAACTATGCAAACGGTTGAAGACGTGCTATCTGACGCAAACATGGACAAAGAAGAGGTAAGAAGAGGCAAATAATGTAAAATTTGATGAAAACATGAAATTTTTCATTAAAATTTAAATAAATATTCGATGGTGACAGGGATTAAAATAGCTTTCTGAAGTTGGAAGGTTATGACTATGTTTTACAAAAATAGTTTAAGCATAAAGTATAAAAAAGTAGTTGATCTTCAAATAAACGTCCAAATATTTGGACATGCGTATGTGCCATCAGCACTGAAGGTTTTAATTACACAATAATAGTTTGTATTCATGCTTAGTAGTGCTCCATGGTATTTACTACATTTTTGTTTACAGATTGACAACGTTGTAGTAGTCGGTGGATCAACTCGCATTCCAAAAATACGTGAACTTCTGGAAGATTTCTTCAATGGAAAAAAAATAAGTAAAACTATAAACCCCGATGAAGCTGTCGCATATGGAGCTGCTGCTCTTGCTGCAAACTTATCAAGTGGATCTCAGAAAGAGGTATGTATATAATAAAAGAGCACTATTAGTATTAACGAAATTACCAGACAATGATATATATAATATATATACATATATGTGTTTTTTTGTTTTACAAGATAAAAGAATTTACCCTGCGTGATGTTGCTCCGTTGTCACTTGGCTATAAAAATAGTAGAGGAGACATGGTCACTGTAATTAAAGGAAACACCAAAATTCCAACGGAAGAATGGGATAGCGCGAAAACAGCGCATGATTATCAAACTGTGGCAACAATAGAAGTACGTAACTTTTTTTGTCTTCCGTCCAGTGAGAATCACTATAATTTTTATAATTTACTGAAGTCGTTTATATAGCGGCTTACATCGCATCTAAATTTGTTCATGTAAAAGGTATTTACTTGCAAGTCGCTTGTTTTTGGTGTTGTTTAAAGCAAAGTAAAATTAAATATCATTGTTTTGAACGTACAACAGTGTAATTTTTGGAAGGCATTGAACTAAGTCGGGTCACCATAATGCATTTAATCATGAATATTTCGTGTACTTTATTCGGTACTACTATAAGTCATGTTTAATAAATAATATGTTTATGAATTGCCTCTTTAGATCTTTGAGGGCGAACGAGCTGCAACGAAGGACAACAATCGCCTTGGTAGTTTTGACGTAAATGACATACCGTCTGCATTGCGTGGCGTGGAAGAGTTTTCAATCTGCTTTTCAATTGATGCAAGCGGAATATTGACGGTAAAAGCGAGTAACAAAAGCACAGGAAAGTCAAATCAAATATCGATATCAAATGACAGGGGTAGATTGAGCGCAAAAGAGGTTTCAAAAATGGTGAGATAATTGTAAATCCTGTAACAAATATACTGCAGGTTTGGACTCTTGAGTTCTAACATTAAACCAGCTGGTTGTTTACAAGTTGATTACTTATGTGTTTTAAATATTAATATTTTTAATCAATATTATGTAATCTTATGTGAGAAACAAAATAACGAGATTGTTACATTAAGCTCTATACAATAACACGCGTGCTTAACACAAACTGTAAATTCTTGTTTTTTAAAGTTCAAAAATGAATCAAACCGTGAAGTCTAAATAAATATGACGTCACAATATTCACGCGAAGAGGTGCGTATCCCAAAATGTACAAGGCATTTGAACACCGGTTCAGCGCCATGTCATCTCTAAATGAACCATGCGTCAATATGTGTCATTCCCAACTAATTTAAAATGTATTTAACAAATCCTATTTCCTTATAAATAAAAGCCTTCTTATTAACTTACGTATTTTAAGCGTTGATATTCCTCCCGAACTTTGTATCGGATCTGTAAGTACAATATTTTGTTTTTGAATATTGAGTAAAATAGAAAGTATTGTGACCATGTTATTTTCAAACGTTAACGAGAAGAGATTTTATAAAATAACATAATAAAAGTCGCATGCTTTATTTTTCACTTTTAGGTTGCAGATGCAGAACGATTCAGAAAAGAGGATGCGGCATGGAAAGAAGGAAGTAGAGCAAGAAATGCACTCGAAAATTTCGTGTACTCAGTTAAGCATTCGGTGGAACAAATGGAAGAGGGCAGTGTCATAAACAGTGATGATAAGAAATGCGTGGTAGATAAATGCGCGGAAATACTTGCTTGGATCGATCTTAATGAGGTACGCATGGAATTCTAAACTAATATTATATTGAAACAATATAGGATAAAAGAATATATGAAAAAATGGTAGTGAATTTTTTTTTCTAAATATCATAATTCGAAATACATTTTCTTTATAACCTAAAAAGAATTTTTTCTATAAATCAGTAAAGCTCGCTTTGAACGGGATGGCATGAGTAAATTAAATTTTATTTTCATTTCTACTCATATTTCATAGTTGAGCCCAAATTTTCATTTTAAATTGGAATTGGAACGATTAAAAATAAAAATACCAGTTTAACGATAGAACGATTGTTCGTTTAAAATTCCTTTCTTCAAGTAAAGTAGTAACATTTTAGTATCTTTCTATTACCAAGCACAACTGTTTGATCAATCATTGCAGAATCCCAAGAAAGAAGATTCGGAAAGAAAGCAACAAGAATTAGAAACTTTATTTCAGCCGAAACTCGCCATGATGCCCGAATAACGAGTTAAACTATTGATATGTAGTCAAGCTTTCAGGCTGCATTACCGTTACTTTCTTAACCCCAAAATAAATATATTGTCAGATAGTATAAGCCGTGGTTTCTGTACATAAACAATAAATTTATTGGTGAACTTTTTAATTGTATTATATCATTTTGTTTTTACATATATCCGAAGTTTAATTATGCATATTATAAGGAAATTAATAAATTATCCATCATTATAAAACTGCTTCTAGTTTGTCAGGAATGGACAGAAAATATCGAGTGAACTAAACAGAATGTGAACTTTTTTATTGAGCAGCTGCTTGAATGAAGGGGTTCTGATTTGGCATATTTAAATGTTACGTATTTGTGTTAATAAGAGAGAAGTAAAAGTTTAATCAATGAAAAATTAAAATGCAAGTCTATGTTTTTCCGATATAGACGATTGGGTTCCAAGCTAATGATTCGTAAATACAAACATGCCAACACGCTAAGGTTCACAATAAAATATTGCCAATATTGGATGCACAAATGCGAAAATAGTTGGCACATATCAGATACATATTTGTGTTTGTTGATATCTCCGTTCAAACGAGAATCCTCTTCGATCGTGATCGGCGAAGTAGTTGTCTCTACAAACTGTGTGTTGCGGCATAGTTTATTAGCTTTCAGATTATTTATTCGGTAGGCGTAGGCTTAACAAACAGATAAGAAAAAACAGTTTGCACTGTTAACAAACGCGTTTTTAATTTTTGTTCGTGGATAATACAAAATATCATTTTGACTGGTTTAATTTTAAATTTTGCATTTTTCATATTAATGATGTTCGGAAATCATGGTTAATCCAAGTCAACCGCCTATAATATAAGCATATTGCCATGAACAACAATTTGAAAAGACTTCATTTTCACAAACAGTAAATTGTGAACACGAAATTTAGTAAATTGTGACTTGCCAAAACGATCGCAAAAAAATCTTTACTGTAGTCATGTTACCAAGGATATGGATTTACCTTAGGTGGACGTGCATATATTAATTTACACTTATATAATGATATATATCATTATAATGATTGATTTAGTGAGAATACTGAACGCAAGGAAATGGCTATGATATTCATTTTGTATTCGTTATTAGTTTGATAGAAAATCTGTAGACGACACTTTACATTTAAAGCCTTTTATGTGCGCTACCTTAGAAAATGCTTTACGGTCGATAAACTCTAAAATACCCAAGTAAGCATTACCAATATCACGCGATATTTACCGCCCCATTTACTCAATAAACAAGTACTTTGGAACGGCAAACAGAATGGCTGGTTTTAAGAAATAGATGAGAGGCTAAATTTAGCAGACGTAAAATTATCAACGTAGTATTACATTTCCCAATTTAGCACTAATTATAAAATGCCGTATGTGATGGGGCGGCTTGCTGAGGACATATTATGGTTACGACACTAGAAATGTATGGATATTAAATTTAGCAACTCTTTGTATAATTAATTTTATTTTTAGATATTAATTCTACCAGAACTAGAACTTCACCACAAACATAAGTGTCAGGACAAAAATATTAATTCACTGTAAACATGAAACCAATAACGTACATTTGGACCAGGCGGGTGTGCATATGATATTTTAAACATACCGTATATACAATTGAATGATGAGGCCAATAGTGTTTCTTAACACGAGGATATTGTTACGATATTTAGTTAGGGTTTATTCTGTGACAGATAACGCGTGTGGGGGAAACTTAATATTCGAGTCTTTTATCTATGCTACCCCGTAATACTTTACGGTAGACATCTGCAAAATTACCGAAAATGAAACGAAGCGAAGCTCTACTTCCTCAATTTGCTCAACAAACAAGCACTGCGGAACGGACAAATAAGAATACAGTTCCTTTAAGCAATTGAAGCGTAACTAGAAATGGCAGAGGTAAATCAGCATAACATTGTTGCATACAACTTCGGATCCTTTAAAAACTGACAGTCCTATATATACGGGCAAACGGAAACTTTGCTTATAGTTGCGACGTTATAAATTTCGAAGCCAGTTTTGCCAGCACTTTGTATTTCTTATTAAAATTATCACTTGTAGATGATACTTGAATTTATCGTTTGTCTTCATAGCCAAACAATAGTCGATAGCAGGTATACACACACCGCGCATTTAATAATTTTACGAAGCAAATACCAAGCTGAGTGGGCGCATCCTTCAGCTATAGGTATTTCAATATCAAGAGAACAGACATCAAGTACTGAATTGATCAAACGAGGAAAATAAAGAAATCATTGCTGTCAAGACGTCGTCGCTACACTGTAAGTTGCAAAAATTTATAATAAACTTGAGATATAAACGTGTGATATACAACGCAGGGTGCAATTTATATGCTGTTTTCCCAATTTATTATATTTTGTGCACATTACATGTGTGACTCAAATAAGGAAATCGCTATTTTTCTAATAAACCTATTTAGGTCTTTAAATTTGAATATTGTATATATATGTGACTAACAGTACGATTACATTGTTATTACTTATATCGTTTTAGCAAAAATTACCCTTTTTGTACTTTGAAGAGCATTCAGAAACTACTGGTGTTTTTACTATGTGAAATAGTTAAAAATGAGTACTGTGTACCTCTAAATTTCCAATTTATCAAAGTAGCTATAATGAAAACAGTCGAGAGTGGTAGATTTGAGTGAAGGAAGTAACTGGATGAATATATGAAATGGCTTAGTTGGGTGCCATTAGACTAGGATAGTTGGTTGAATGAATTTTTTGGAAAGAAAAATAGGACCTCCTGAAGTATGCGCACTAAGATTGTGCACAACCTGAACTCAGGTTGTGTACCAGGTTACGGTTCAGGTTATGCGACATTTTGGTGCGCATAATTCGAGAGCACCGAAGAATATATGCCAGTTTGAAGTAATTCATTCAATATCCAAAGTATTCAGCATCTTTATTTAGTCTGAAGAGTTCGGGGAGCAAAAATCGAATCATGCTAATTGTGTTTGGTCACAGTTCTAAATGAATAAATTGGTCGACCGTTGATTGTGCAGGGTAGTTTAATCGGTCAACCGTGGCAAATACTGTGCAGCTTCCTATGTACTTTGATGTACCCTATGTACTTTCAATTTGAAAAATTCTGTTTATTAAGTGTAAATTATATTTTGTATCATTAAAATTATTCATATTACTTCATTACTGGGGTTAGATATAATTTCATATAATTAGAGGAAAGGTGGTTTTAGAAAGTAATGAGATTTTTTCTTGAGACCCATTATTTGTTCGACAGTTTAATTGCCTGCATCCTTTGACGTGAAAATGAAAATGCACCCTAGTTTACCTCTCACATGTGAAATCCCTATTGAAGCTGATAGATTAAATAAAAACTAGATTTCTTTAACTTGCTATCATGTCCAACTAAGTATTTGTTTAAATAAATTACTAGAAATAACAAATAGACGGTAAATGATGCAAAAATGTTTATCCAATTACATACTTATATGTGGAAATGCTAATAAATGATTACATTTTTTTTTCAGTTTTTTATTTTAATTGGTTTTCAATGTATAATGTTAGGGCTTATTCACAAGAGGGCGAAATATAGCAGGGTATAAACCAACGCTAATTTCGCAATATACGTTGTCAAAGTAACATAGTAAACACGAGCGAATAATTTTCGGTTTAATGTTGCCTACCAAAATAGCCTTTAAATTATGGGTCTGTAGACTTATAGTTGGTAAATATAGAACACTCTACTGCTGCTATTACTAAGTCTTCCGTGACACAGCATTGGCTTAAGATTTCATTGTTCCTAAGCCCTGGTTTAGATTTATGTCAAGCATGATAAGATCAATTTGAGACTCATTTAATATAATACACCGTTGCTTGCACATAAAATGTTGTTTAACGACCAAACTCCGATAAAGGTCAAACATGTGATATGTGTTTGAATTCCGTTGCATGATTTGTTGATTTAACTATTAAAATGTTGAACAAAAATGAGTTGGCTTTATTCATATATTTAAATAAAATGTTGATTCAACTCGCGTTGTATTCGAATTTTTCGCAGGCAACATATATATACATCGTTCCGTGAGTCGCATTGGAATTGAACGGGGCTGGGGAAATTTAGTGAAATAAAACCCGTTTTTTCTCTGAACTCTATTTTTTCAAATAAAATGTTTACAAATGTATACCAGTAAAATATGAGTAAAAATTCAGAGTATGCATATTATAAATTCCGTCCAGTAATGCTACCTTACAAAATGCTTAACGGTCGATAAACTTTAAAATTACCAAGTAAGCAATACCAATATCACGCGATATTTACCTCCTCATTTACTCGATAAACAAGTACTTTGGAACGGCAAACAGAATGGCCGGTTTCAAGAAATTGACGAGGGACTAAATTTAGCAGAGGTAAAATTTTCAACGTAGTATTACATTCCCCAATTTAGCACTAATTATAAAACGCCGTATGTGATGAGCGGCTTACTGAGGACATATTGTGGTTACGACACTAGAAATGTATGAATATTAAATTCAGCAACACTTTGTATAATTATTTTTATTTTTAGATATTAATTCTACCAGAACTAGAACTTCATCACGAACGTTAGTTTTATTTCAGCTACGTCTCAAGCACATAAGTGTCAGGACAAAAATAATAATTTAATGTAAATATGAAACCAAAAACGTAGATTTGGCCCAGGCCATATACTATTTTAAACATATATACAACTGAATGATAAAGCCAATAGTGTTTTCTAACTCGAGGATATTGTTACGATATTTTGATAGGGTTTATTCTGTGACAGATAACGCGTGTGGTGGAAACTTAATATTCGAGTCTTTTATGTAGGCTACCCCGTAATACTTTACGGCAGACATCTGTGAAAATTACCGAGAATGAAACGAAGCGAAGCTTCACTTCCTCAATTTGCTCAACAAACAAGCACTGCGGTACGGACAAATAATAATACAGTTCATTTAAGCCATTGAAGCGTAACTGAGAATGGCAGAGGTAAAATCAGCATAACATTGTTGCATACAACTTCAAATATTTTAAAAACTGACAGTCCTATATATACAGGCAAACGGAAACCTTGCTTATAGTTGCGACATTATAAATTTCGGAACCAGTTTTGCCAGAACTTTGTATTTCTTATTAGAATTATCACTTGTAGACGATACTTGAATTTCTCGTTTGTCTTCATAGCAAAACAATAGTCGATAGCAGGTATCGCGCAACACAGCGCGCATTTAATAATTTTACGAAGCAAATACCAAGCTGAGTGGGCGCATGCTTCAGCTTTCCGTATTTCAATATCAAGTGAACAGACATAAAGTATTGAATTGATCAAACGAGGGATATAAAGAAATCATTGCTGTCAAGAAGTCATCGCTACATTCTGACATTGTAAGTTGCAAATATTTATAATAAACCTAAAATACAAACGTGTGAGATACAACGCAGGGTGCAATTTATATGCTGTTACCTCAATTTATTATATTTTGTACACACTTCATGTGTGACTCAGATAAGGAAAATCGTTATTTTGCTAATAAACGTATTTAATATCATTAAATTTAAATGGTGTATATAAATGTGACTAACGGTACGATTTCATTGTTATTACATATATCGTTTTAGCAAAAATTACCCAGTTTGTAATTTTAAGAGCATTCAGAAATCACTGGTGTTTTTACTATGTGAAATGGTTAAAAACGCGTACTATGTGTCTGTGTACCTCTGAATTTGAAATTTATCAAAGTATCCATAATGAAAACAGTCGTGAGTGGTTGATTTGAGTGACGGCAGTAACTTGATGATTATATGAAATGGCTTAGTTGGGTGTCATTAGACTAGGATAGTTGGTTGAATGAATTTTTTGGAAAGAAAAAGAGGACCTCCTGAAGTATGCGCACCAAGATGGCGCACAACCTGAACTCAATGAAAATGCACCCTAATTTACCTCTCACATGTGAAATCCCTATTGGAGCTGATAGATTAAATAAAAACTATATTTCTTTAACTTGCTATCATGTCCAACTAAGTAATTGTTTAAATAAATTACTATAAATAACAAATAGACGTTAAATGATGCAAAAATGTTTATCCAATCACATACTTATATGTGGAAATACTAATGAATGATTACATTTTTTTTTCAGTTTTTCATTTCAATTGGTTTTCAATGTATAATGTTAGGGCTTATTCATTCACAAGAGGGCGAAATAGAGCAGGGTATAAACCAACGCTAATTACGCAATATACGTTGTGAAAGTAACATGGTGGACACGAGCGAATAATAATGGATATACGCGATAATATATATTTAAACTTGCTGCGGATATTTATAAATTTCCGAACCATACCTGCAACTGTCGCCATAGCATAACACACAATGATGACATTTACTAATCTCTTAGTCATAGACAGGCTTGTCTTATAATATCATATTAATAGTAGAGAACTATTGTTTGGAATCAAATATAAAATAATTTAATATCATAAATGACCATGCTGAGTTTCAGGCTTGAATAATAAATATGAAATGAAAATATCATAATATTAAGTTCTGATAATAATAGTTTATATAAAATAACATTAATTTAGAACGTATCAAATTAATTTTAGTCCGGATAAGTAGTTTTTTGACTTTATTTATAATACCATTTTGTTTAATCATGCCGATTACCCCTAAATTTACATTAAGCACGTTTTCCCCTGATTTAAACAAGTGGTATCGATTGCCTGATAACTTAAGAAGGCACTCTTGTATTGACAGAGTTAGTGATATAAGTCAGGGTGGTCCAAACCCAGGCCCGCGGGCCACGTGTAGCCCGCCGCTCTATTATCTGTGGCCCGCGTCACATTCGAAGAGCAATCAAAAATCCTATTTCGTGTTGTTTCGTAATAAAATTATTCAGAAAAATCTTTTGACATATTGTTACATTACTCCTGTCACTGAATGGACTAATGTTATGGCTAGTTCGGGCAACTATCGAAGTTGAATGATGTGCTTGGCAGTATAATTCATTATCTGGCTTTCTATCTTTTTGGTCGGGAATATATGCTAAGGTGACCGTACATTTGTGAACCCACGTACATTTGAACCCATGCGTATATCCGCGGGTTCAATCTATATGCGGGTGCTAGAACCCATGGGTCAGGGTGAGTATGGGTTCAAATATCCGTAAAACAAAATAATTTCCATAGGTGCAATAGTATGCAAGTGCAATTGTCATGGGTTCAAATGTACGTGGGTTCAAATGTGATGGAACCATATGCTAACAATATAGGCACCATAGAAACTAAAAATCGAATGCGGATTTCTATTAGCCTGGGACGGCTATGTCTGATAACTAAATAAAATTTTTGCACAATAAAAGGGTTTGTTTTGTATTGCACTGTTTACCTATTCTTGGCACTATTGTGGCCCTATTTGTTACCCGCGGAGCCGACAACATTGGACCACCCTGATATAAGTCATAATTCCCATGTCATAGTTATAAAGATTACCAAAAAAATACTATGTCTATCGATCTATTTATCGTGGCCAAAGGGCAATGATACTTTTATTGCCCTCCTAGCTTTTATGTCACAAAAGGTTCTAGAATATTTTTCTTCTATTATATTATCAGTTCTATGTTGCCTACCAAAGTAGCCATTAAATTGTCGGATTGTAGACTTCGAGTTGGTAAATATGGAACACTCTACGCTGCTGATACTAAGTCTTCCGTGACACAGTGTTGGCTCAAGATTTCATTGTCACCAAGCCCTAGTTTAGATTTATGTCAAGCTTGATAAGATCAATTTGGGATTCATTTAATATAATACAGACGTTTGCACATAAAATATTGTTTAACGACCAAACCCCGATAAATGTCAAACATGTGATATATGTTTGAATTCCGTTGCATGATTTGTTGATTTAACTATTAGAATGTTGAATAAAAATGAGTTGGCTTTATTCATATATTTAAATAAAATGTTGATTTACCTTGCTTGTATTCGAAATTTTCGAAGGCAACACATATGAATACATCGTTGCGTGAGTCGCATTGGAATTGAACGGGTTTGGGAAAATTAGTGAATTGAAACCCGTTTTTCTCTGAACTCTGATTTTTCAAATAATATGTTTAAAACTTATACCAGTAAAATGTGAATAAAAGGAGTAAAAATCAGAATATTCATGTTATAAATTGTTCGAAATAGCGCTTAATTGGCATTCCTGAAAAATTCTCAAATCAGTTTCACGATACATGTATACTGAAACAATGCTCGTCGAAATCTTGTAGGAATTTGAAATTCATAAATACATTTTCAATGCGAGTACAACAGAAAAATCGTCCGGCATGACCAAATTTCATGCTATAATTTATCGAATTACACACTTGTGTGATTGTGACTTTTCGCGTTCTTGCTCACCGGAATAGCAGTTTGTCGTCAGAAAATGGGACACTTTAATCTTCGCAAATCCTGTTCAAGAACCAGATTGAAATTATTCATAAACCGGGGTTCATATTTGACAACCGTCCATTTGCATTTCATTCTCATCTCTGTTTTTGTTTCCAGAACATTTATGTTTGACTGAGACATTATTTTAATAAATTACAAAGCGACAATGCTTTTAAATGTCGCTATTTAGCGTGTTATTATATCAGGGAATTTGTTTTGCTCCATCGTCACTGAGGTTTGATTAATATAATGTTTTGCTCACTCACATATACCCAGTTAAATTTATCCGTAACTTGTATATATTGCTACCATCATCAAGATAGACCAAGGCTGCAGCGAATATTGTAAACGGAGTGGACCTATGAATCGTTTTGTTATTATTTTGTTGTTGTTAGTCTTTTTCTTGTGGTTACCGTATGAAAAAATCGTTTCGTGCTTTTTTGTTACATCAAGTACACTTCAACCGGAGCAAAATTAAATTTTTGACAAAAATCAAATGTATCTTTCCCTTGTATACATTGTTGCCATGACCCTAGGTATATAACAGGGCTGTAGCAGTTATTATTAATATGACCGCTTTAATCAAAGTTTAAATTGAGAAGGTCGTTTGTTTGCCGTTAATTAACTGTATTTTCGACAGATCCCATATAACGATTTTCTAGGATTTATAAGGTAATCACCAATATAAATGGCCAAATGATGCACCATATGATATTTATCGAAGCTCCATATTGCAATCATATACGGTGCTTATGCTCTTTCAGCTGTCTGTGTAAATAAAATTGTCGAATATTCACAAGTGAGAAACATTTTTAAATGTAAATCGCACATAACCCAAATTAGAAAATGATTGTATTGTGTCCCTCGATCTATATTTATGTGCGAGCCAAACTAGATAAGTAAAACTCCCCCGGCGAAGTTGTATTCCTAACGATATTTTTCTTTGTAAACAAACTAATCTTTATTGCGATGACGCTAACAGTTTATTACGTGTACCGAGACAATAAAAATTAATAACAACGAGTTCTATGTAATTTGATATTCAACATCGTATGAATGAAAATGCGAAACATTTCCCGAATAAACAACAATTTCGCAATCGGTAGTACTGAGGGCTCAAAAGAAATTTTTACTGTGTTATTAATAATAGAATTAAATTAAAAATAAAATAAGTCAATAAGAACAGGTACTCGCGTACTTGCTATTAAATTTGGTTATATATATATGAGGTTGAGGCAAAGACATATCTATACCAATTTGCAACTAAGATAAAACGTTTTGTATATAGTATCGTGGATGCTCAAACGTGATTCATTGCATATGCATTGCGTTCACGGATTAATTCAAATATATTAAAGTTTTTACTTAATATTCTCACATTCTCAACTTTAATATGATATATAAATTTCACTTAAATCTGTTCTATATCAAGATTAAATGATAATTAATGACTTTCATGTTTATGAAAATGATAATTTATCGGTTATTCATGATTGGTTATTAATATTGGTGTATTAATAAAGGTGTTGAATAAAAGCATTTTATCACAACAACATTTTAGCAAAACGATTTAGTAGACCGCTGCGTGAATAGTATAATATCGTTCATAGCAATAACAAATAGACATTTAATCGAGTGCATAATTTTTTTCAATAAACTAGATATTATTCAAGAAAGGTTCAAGCAATCCTTTCTTTAGTTTAGTACCGTTATTGTCTATTCTATTTCTCCACAAGATGGCGAGAATAAGAAGCAAGTTACAGTCCAAAATAGTGCAATAATAATGCGATACGTTGTCACGGGAGCTTAGTAAATGGGGCTCTATACGTAAAATGTAACGCATCAGCCAGTACGCCACTAAGGTAATAAAAATGGTTGTAGATGGCTAGTCGACACATCGAGTGGCTGTTGTCCCAATGTCAAATACCATTTGGCAGCTGTTAATTTGTCAGCCACTGAGAAATAAATGTTTTGCAAAATAAGTTTCCCATTCAATCGTTTACACTCTTGATTGAAAAGGTTCGGCAACCAAACCCTCGAGACTGCAAATCAACAAAATCCAAAAAAAATTGAAACAAGAGAAATATAGTGTGATTCTGATTGGAAATCGGCTAATATTAAAATATTGCTACTAAACTGTCATTTACTGACAACTAACAACAAAAGTAACTTAACTTAATTATGCACATCTTATTCATATTTCTATCAGGACATGATCATGAGACTCAGTAAGAGCAGATTTGGCATAACAGTGGCGTTAAAATGCGATCATTTGATGCGTGTACTCTCACGTATATGTACAAAAGTACAAACGAATTATATATACGTCTGATGTGAATTCGTTTTCAGAGGCATGTAGCTTAGTAGAGATATGAGTTCACGCAATTGAGAATAGCTTTTTGTGTTCATGCACAAAATAACTAGCTTTTAGAATGTGAACAATATGCTTTATATTTTTAACGAATAATTTTTTCTGGAATCGAGTGCAGCCCTGGTCCAGTTAAAGATGAGCTAAAAGTATTCTATGGTTGTGGATTTTTTTTTTCGATGGTGATCAATGTAACGTATTTTTTAAAGATAAAATTTTCATATCAGGATGTTGAAGATTATCAAAAATATCGATCTCCGTCTGCTATATCCTGCCTTGCACGACTAGGTATTGACATAGAAGCTTATAGAACAAGCTTATAACCAAGTTGTGATTAATGACGTTGTTTGCATATCTGTTGTCAAAGCATTATCAAATTTGATGTTGAGGCATTTTGAACTCGTTATGAAGTAAATTTAGCTGCAAACAATTTTTTAAATACAGAATAGCATGAGTTTGTTTTCTTTAAAAATAGTTGATGATGTTAATTTTCGGTACTTCCGTAGTGTGTGTACCAGGTTAGGGTTATGGCATGATTCCCTATTTTAGTTCGGATACTGTCTGTGTTAGCCAAGTGAACATACCCCCTAGCCATAGGGTTCAGTTCCTTTATACAACCTGGTGTAAAGTTGGCGAACAAAGTTAGTTGCTTCCATATTGGTACACATACTTTTGGATCGCAAAATTTTGTCTTCACTTAGGTTGGATCTTATGATATGGGCGTTGGGGTATGAGAGTATGAGTTGCAGACAGGGTCATCTTAAGATCAAATCACTTTACATATGCTTTTACAGCGCTTTCAATTCTGGGAATTATTGTGTTAATTTTTTAAACTAATGTTTCAGAGCTGTTTCTATTTCCATTTAACGCTCCCAATTTTTCTTACAAATATAGACACATTTCTGAAGCCTACTACAGGGTGAGGCTAATCAATTGAACTAAATATAATTAATGAAATATTGATGCGCATATACGTCAGGAGGTCCCAATCAAATATTTGTCATGCAACTCAAGGGTCCTGCTGCATATTAACACAAATTTCTATAACGTTTCATCTGACCAAACTAAGACTTCTTTAGACAAGCAGTTTACAACAACGACAAGAAAATAACAATCATGCGGTTTAAAAATACGGCGATAAATAAATTTGTTTGAATTAAATTCTCAGATTTATTTTAACTAAACAATGAATAAATACTATTTTATATTTAAAAAACATATTGCCATGTAAAAAATACGACAGGTTCTCGGCATGGGATAAATGTTCCACGGTATACTTGATCTCACAATATGTTTCACTAGAACATTTATCAATATGTTCTAGGCTCAGCTTTTGATAGTCAGGGACAGGGTTCTTTTGCAGTAATTTTTTGGAAAGCGTTGAAGTTCTTTTGATTCTTGGCAGGATCCATACGCTTTTGATGGGTCAAAATAAAACTAAATCAGACTTTATATTAGGGATAGACTTTCGACAATACTCCCCGTAAACTAGTGCCTGTGCTACAGTAATAAAATAATGATACACACTTGCGAATAAAAGATATCTCATGCATGGTATTAAATAGAACTGGGCATTTCTTAACGAATATGCGAATTGAATGCGATAGTTATGATCACTGGAGAAATACTGGGCATCATCAGGTATTTAAACATACCCAGCCCCAGTAAAAATAATCATTACCCTACTGTACACCGCCAAGCATTGATCTTTATGTTAATTTGGATGGACAAATTTCCGGCATTTTTATAGCCTGTGTCATCATATTTTATTTTTCGACCTTTCTCTTGCAGTCTCTATTAATAATAACTTGGTAAGTATTCGAAAGTTGAAATCCATAGTAAATTTTTTTATACCTTCACAGCTTGAAAAGAGGCGATTTATGAGCATTTAGGATGATATAATACCGTGGTATTGTTTTGGCATGGGAATGAGATTGCATTTTCTAAACGTTGCTGTCAAATATTAGATAAATTTTACTAAATATGAGAAAAAAAGCAGAGAAACCTTATTGAAAGAAGTAAAACATACAGCTAATCATAGTGTTTCACTGGCTCAGATATGAATCTGGCTAATGTCAAAAATTAAGAAGGTGATGTAAAATATATGAAATTAAATAGATTTTCCCTTCTGTTACTTCAAAATTCCTAATGCATACTCCTGGCGTGAAAAATACCATGTATAAGTTGCCATCCATTCTGTTCATTCAAATTTCTGGGTATACTTGCTTCCACGAAATTCAACTTCATCTAAATCAGGACTAAACCGGAACGCTTTAGTACTCATCCGCATGCTATCAGATTATTTTGTACGATAACAAAACAACCAAATTATCAACGCCAGTGTCGCGGCACCCCACGCTACGCTACACCAATACTAACTTGAAACACTGAAAGTCTTACTTTGCCAACAAACACGCCCTGTATCTAACTGTAGTTGCCAGGTTATCGAAAGAAAAAACGCGAATATTAATTTTTATTTGTGTAGTATATTTTCGTGAACATCAAACGTATATCAAAACACTGGGCTTTATCTAGATGAGAAATAATTTTTAGGAAAAAACTTTTTGTCCACATGTAAATAAGTAAAACCATATAAATAGCCTTACAAAAACTTGAACAGTTTCTTGCAACAGTTCTCACGTCTTGATAGCAGTGGCTTTATGACGACAGACAAGAAAATCAAACAGTTGGAAATAATGAACAATTGAGAAAACACTTGAAAATATTACGCAGAGTTTCTATAGTTCACCATGTGCAATAGCTATCTCAAATATAATAATCGGCCTAGGATTTTTCACAACTGCAAAGTGCAAGTTCCATATAACCGGAAATTCTTATCGTTCCGAAAACGATAAATTATACTTCATCGTTGTTTTGCTTGTTGAGCCACTAGCTTGTAAGTGTTTATCAATTTTTGACAATATTCGTTAAAACTGTAAATGTACTTTCACAACTTTTTTAATTTAATAAAAGACAGTTTCTGTGTACCAAATTACGGCCATTATGGTCCACAAGGACCCGAATTCACTGATATCTGAAACTTAGCGGTATATCCTTCGTTTCAGATTCTATAACGTTCAACGATGGGAGATGTTGGAATCGGAATTGATTTCGGAACCTCGTTTTCTTGTGTTGCAGTTTGTAGAGATGGAAAGGTGAAGTATAGTTTTATTGCTAAAATACTTCTCGTAGTTATTTTATTATTGGTTATACATTTTATATATTCTATATTAATTCAAACCCAAACACATTATTACATAATATATAGCTTTGTTAGCTAGTGTATATTGCGATATATCTAGTTGCCGTGCAATGTCCCACTTATCAATACCTTGCGCTTTCCCGTCTACAATATATGCAGTAGCCTTTAGCGCGAAAATAAATTGCATGGTGCATTATTCCGTTCGGTAATCGGTATACACTATACATCATAAAATAAGGAATATTACCATGCATCACTCGAGTTTTATTCATACAATTAGAATCCCTTTTGTAAATGAAATGATAATTAGTATTTTAACACACAAGTTTGTTTTGTTTATTAATGTTTAGGTCGAAGTGATTGCGAACGAGCATGACAAGCGATTGACACCTTCGTACGTTGCATTTACTGAGGAAGAAAGATTGTATGGCGACGCTGCAAGACATCAAAACCCATTGAATCTAAAGAATACATTCTATCGTATGTGATAAGGATATAATTTATATGAATATAAACATTGAAATGACGTTTGAAAATTAAATGAACCGATTATTGACGGTTCACTGGTAATAGACAAAATGCTATAAGGGCGTCCTAGAGTAATGGTTAACTTATATGTACACATATATCAGCAAACGTTAGTTGCAGATAGATAGTTATGCTGGACGGCTTAAAACAAATTCACTAGTATTACTTCAAAGAAAAATATCACTGAAAAAAATCACCTTTCACTCGGGCCAAAGGTTACATATACAACAGTGGACAACAGTAATATTATCGGATGTTGTACCAAAATCGGATGTTCCAAAACGCAAAAACAACTAGCGAAACTACTGTGCATTGCAACAGAGATTATACATGAACAATATGTATGTTTGACCAGGATCTAAAATTTTCTATATTTAGAATGATTGAACAGAACAAATATTTAAAATGATTTACGAAAATATTCTAATTTAAGCTAATGAATTCAATTTTGTTTTAGAAACTAAAATGTTACTTGGGCGAAAGTATGAAGAGATTCCAAAAGGCGCATTTATTGGATATGATATAGAAGCTTCAGACTCTAAGTTGAAATTACCAGTACGTCTTATTGCTTTATATTGTTGAATTGAGTAGGAAACTTTTCTTCACACTTCACTTGTCGCTAATATTAAATTTTGAATTGCAGTTTATCTACAAAGGAAAAAATAAACCTTTAAGTCCGGAGCAAGTAAGCGCCATGGTTATTGGTAAAATGAAAAAAGATGCTGAAATTTACTTGGACACTGAAGTGAAGAGAGCAGTAATATCAGTTCCTGCTAGTTTCAACCACGCTCAGCGAAAGGCCACGATAGATGCAGGAAAAATTGCTGGTTTCGAAACTGTTGAGTTAATCAATGGTACTACAGCAGCTGCCATCGCATATGGACTAGATAGAGAAGTAGGATTTAACACCCCATTTTTATATTCATTGCAGTATAATTTACACTTTGTTGTTTAATGAATATATTAATCTTTTAAAATTTACTAATTCCTGAAATTAATGTAATTTTGTAATTAAAATTATTCGAATATGATAAAATTGCTTAGCAAAAACAAAGCGGAAATATTTGTCCAATCAAATTTGTTAAATGATGATTAAATCAGATGTCAAACCTATTCTAACTTTATTTTGTTCATGAGATTTTGCCATTCCGATTTGTTTTATTTCTGGGTAATCCAATGTAAAGTTTTTATAACAAAAGTTTCCGAATCTGTAACTTTCCTCTTGAATAGTCTACTACTGCAAGTACAATTTATCTGCGAATGCAAACCTTTCCTACATTTTCAGAAAGACCAGGAACGAAATGTCCTCATCTTAGATTTTGGCGGTGGAAAATTTGATGTCTCCATCGTGAAAATACATAAAAGAAATTTTCAAGTTATGGGAGCTTACGGTGATTCTTGCTTTGGAGGTAAAATTCACGATACAGAACAAATATTATAATTTTTCGTAGTTTCAAATTTTAATATAAAATGGTATTGTTTAAGTCAATTCGGTGGAAGCTGGATGGCTGCACATTGTAAGACATGGAACTCCACATAATAGCATTTTTGATTCGTGGTCTATTAGGTATAATGTATAATACCGTTTTTCTAAACTCTAGAATCTGGAGGATTGTGACTGGGCAAGTTTGCCATGCTTAAACGTATGCTTTCTGATTCGTAATTAGTGTTTAAAATGTGAAGCCATACAATTTTTTTAATTTCAATTCATATTTATTTATAAAAAAATATGGGCAAGAAATGGATTTCTGGTATAAAATACAAAGTTATTCTGCTAACAGGTGAAGACTTTGACAACAATCTTGTTCGACACTTCACAGGAGATGAAAGTAATTTCAACGACAAAAAAGCTATTTGTCGATTACAAGAAGCGTGCGAGAAGGCAAAAAGAACACTATCTGGTGCTTCGCGTGCACGGTAAATTTCGAAGTTTTCTATTATTTCCCGAATTATTTAGAGAAACTGTGTAATACTAGATTTCCACGAATTATCTCAGATAATGATAATCAGATACATAGCAATCATTTTATGTATATGCTATTACAGCGTTAAAGGTTAAAGTAGATATTTCTTCATTTTTTGACACATTTTAACGTGAATCTAAGCTTTGATTGCAATAGAATCGATTAATAATTTATTTCATTGATATTCTCAGAAACTATTGAAAAACTTTTAAAAAATATTTTAACAATAGGAATGACATCATGAAAAGTAGTCTGTTATTTGTATTTTGAACTATAGTGAAGTTAACACTCTCACGACATTAACTATTCGCAATGCTGTCTAAAATTTTCCGATAAATGCTAATCTTCATTCTCTGTACATGAACCAGTAAGTTTTATACCCACGGGTTTGCTAAGACTAGTCATCAACTCAATAAAAACATGCACAAACGAATACTAGATGTGTTCTATAATAAGCAATGTTTATTCTTTATTTTGCAGAATACGTGTGGACTGTCTTTTCGGTGGGAAACCTTTTGGTTCTGAGATTACCCGTTCTGATTTCGAGGATATTAACAAAGAATATTTTGATAGAGCTTTGGAGATAGTTAAAAAAGTTTTTAGATGCGCCAATGTGAAGGAATCGGAGGTTAATTAAATTATTTAATGTCGACATTTGTGTTTATGGGCCATATGCTACTGTTGTATATTTTATTATTTCAGAGTCAGACGGCATATGACAGTTGATATGTATATATATACTATAGACGAAATAGAGTACGATTATTCTGACGACTTATCAAATAAGCTTATTGCTAATAAATATCTTTATATGACAGAACCAAACATTTAAATAACGCCTATGTAAACAATTATATGCCTTAAAATTCTATTTTTTTTTAAAGATCACCGAGTTGGTTCTTGTCGGGGGATCAACTCGCATTCCGAAATTTCGTCACCTTATTCAGGAATATTTCAATGGAATGGAATTAAGTAGAACAATTAATCCAGATGAGGCGGTCGCTTGTGGCGCAGCTCTTCATTGTGCAAGCAAGAAGGTGGGAAGTGGTACCTCATTTCAAAGACATGATTAAAGTTTTTACTCGATTTTATTTAGTATTGTTAGAAATCTTGGCTGCGATTAAATTAATTTTATAGTAAAATAAACACCAAATATATTCATATACACAGCAGTAGTTGGTAATATAAAAATTTCATTTACTTTAGATGAATGGTTATACGATGGTAGATGTTGCTTCTCGACCAATTGTGATCAAGGGTGACAGGAATACACAGGAATATACTCTTGTAAAACCTCTAACTAATTTACCCTCAACTACAAAACTTACGGCATCACCCGGAAGCCAGTGGCAGGTGGAATTGTGATATAATCTATTCAAAATTTATTTATACTAACTTCTAACGCAATGAGTGACGGCGTTTACGCATAGAATAAATTTGAGCTATATTATTTTTATGTTTATTACATATGGTGATACAATGTCCAGAACACAATGCTGCTTTAAATTTTTATAGGTTTTTGAAGGTGAACCTGTTGTCGATAGCTCGACAGACTCGATATTCACTGTCCAAGCCGATTCCATGACAAGAACCGAATTTGTTTGGGTAGTTGAAATGAATGGCCTAGTCAATGTTGAAACTTCTGTAAATGGGGAAACAACTAAACCGAATATAGTCAGCAGAAACACACGAAATGTTTCAAAAGATGATATTCAAAAAATGGCAAGTGTTTTAGTCTGTTATTTTTGGGAATTTTACCTGTTATTCCTCAGAGAACTTTTACAATATACTCTAATCAACAGAATATTAAATACCCTTAAATTACTTGCATCTCTGTATCAAGTAAGAATATGTTCGGGGAGACGACGTATGAATCTGTTCTCAAATAGTTAATAGGTTGGTTATTGTTGTTATTGAGTAAATATTTCCTTCACTAATAGTCTAATACTAATGAAACAATAACTTCTAGTTCTAGTAATCCAATATGGATATTTTCACAAAAATGATAGAAAGTAGTTTTAAACTATCCCTGAATAATACTTTAGAACCCAACATTTTTCGTTAAAATCTTGATTTTTATTGTCAATTCACGGAACATCATACACCTGGGTACACATTTGTGTGACTTTTGACCTTCTATTCATAAACTTGAGCAATGCTCTCTTTTATTTTCTAGATGGAACAGCATGCAGAATTTCAGATGGATGATGATCTGATAGCAAAAGCAAGTGACGAGCGCAATGATCTGGAAAAATCTGCATACAACATCAAACAATCCATAACGAGTGCCGTGTATAAAGACAAACTAGAAAACAATGTTAAAGAGGAAATCACTTCTGAATGCAACAGAATTTTAGAGTGGCTAGATGAAAATCAGGTTTGTCTTGGCTCTGTATGTCCTGTCTTCTTTGAATAATTAGGTGATTATAGATAAATTAAAACTTTTCCTTCTCTCAAGTTACCTGAAACAAGAAATATGACTCAAACAGCTGCTTTGAAACTAACATAGTGAAGTGAAACTAACATAGTGAAACTAACCGAGTGATGATTCAATATTTGAACAAAATATTACATAATATTGAAATTGTAAACGAACAATTTTTTTCTGTAGTTATAAATGACTTAAATTGTTAAAATGTTGTAAATCACCAATCGAACAAAATTTTAAATCTTTATTTATTTTGATTGTTTATGAATTATACTGAATTTACATTTTCGTCTAACAATCATCTTTTTATGTATGTTTAAAGAATGCAAGTGTCGATGAATGCTCCACTAAAAGAAATGAATTGGATAGAATTTGCCTTCCACTATTAGAGAAGAAACGAGAAGAACAGGCAAGTTGTGTTTAAGTTAATTTAAAAAATGCATATTAAAAATATCTTAGATTGTTTGAAAAAAAAGTCGGATTCCTAGAGACGCTACACTGCAATACCAGAATTTTGTTTTAATTGTTTGAAGATTAAAACAGATGATACCTAGTTGAAATTTATATTCCATATAATCAAGAGGATGACCAAGATTTGCTATTTCAATAATAATTCTTTATTGAACAAGAATATTGATTCCAAAAAAAAATAGGGTTTTTGAATGACAAAAAATTAGGATTTCATCCATCCTAATTATATTTTGAAACTGAATGTTTCATTGCTAATTTATAACATTCTGAACTGTAGATTCGAATCTCAAAAAGCTTATACCTTTTTTATGCAAATGATTTGGAAAAGCAGAAAAAGAGAGAAGAGGAATATAAATTGCGTCAGAAAGCAAGGAATGATTTGAAATTTTTCATCAATGATGCAGAGAATAAAGCCAAACTTGAGCGTTTTAAGTTTGCCCCAGAACAACCTATAATTCTGAGAGATTGTCAAAATTTGACAAAATTATTGGTCGACAACCAGGTTGGATAATTTTTCTTGGATAATATCTTTATTAACTTATTATTTACACGTAGGATTTTCTACAATATGCAATTGACTATTCTATTCTGACCAATAATAATTCAATACGAGAGCAAATGTTATAGAAATGTTTAAAATAATAGCTGTCATTGACGACAGAAGCAAAACCTTAAATTCAGGACGATAGAACATTAGATATATAAATGTCACTGTTATTTTCAGACACGATATAATTTTTTCACAATTCTTTTTACTGTACAAATGCGCACTCAATGGCATAATCTTAATAACTCCCCATACATGTAATAAAACTTACTATATTATAAAACATGATGAAAGCCTTGACAACATTGGGTATTCTTTCAGAATGCGACAATAAACGAAATAAATGACAACTTGCAGAAATTTCGAAAATGGATCGAGACGATGTTTGAGAAAATGGAACAATCCGTGAAGGTTTGAGAAAATATTTACCATTATAAATTACATTAATATTAAAATGTTTAAACTGTAATTACAAATTACTTGACCACCGCCTCATCGTTTTCGAGAATTAGAAAAAATGCGTAATGCAAGTTTATTACAAAACAAAAATTAAACTTGCTCTTGTTAAATATATATATATATTCAGCAAATAAATTTATGCATAGGCTTAAAAAATATCAAAAAATCTCGAGCAATTTCGATGATATGTTCGAACGAATGATTTATTCCTCATTATTTGTATATATTTATAATGTAAAATTAGGAAATCGTGACTCTGTAATATCTTTAGAAATTTACCCATCGAATTGGAATATTTAAAATGGATGCTTATTTAGTTTATTAATTATTAGAAAATGTTGTTATTTAATGTAGATACACGAAACTAAATCTCGAAATGACGTCATAACATTTTAGACCATGAATTTGAAACAGCAAAAAATTGAAGACGAAAAACGAGAACTTTGCAAGGAAGCCCAGAATGAGTTGAAAAACTTTATCGAAGATGCTGAGAGCAGAGTCAAACTTCAGGACTATGAGTTTGCCAGGGATAAACCAGAGATTCTTCAAAATTGTCAAAACTTAAGAAAATGGATGGAGGACAATCAGGTTGAAATATTAGTCATTATGAGTCATTTTTTTGAGTTTATACAAGATAAAACATATTTAGTACTATGTATTGAATATTAAATACTATCATTGAATTTTCTTCTAATCAAAAACATCCATTCAGGAGGAGAGAAAACTAGGTATTAAAATATAACTGTTACTGTACATATGCGCACTCAATGGTACAACCTCAATCACTCCCCATACATGTATTAAAAATACTATAAGATAAAACTTGATGGAAGCCTTGACTAAATTGTATATTTTTCAGAATGCGACAATAAACGATATAAATGACAAATCGCAGAAATTTCGAAAATGGATCGACGATACGTTTGAGAAAATGGAACAAGTCGTAAAGGTATGAAAAAAATTGGCATTATAAATCGCAATGATAATCAAATATTATACCTGAAATAATAAATTACCTTACTACCACCTCATCGTTTACGAGAGATTTAAGAAAAAATGATGTTCTGTTGTTACAATGCTTGTTTAACTATTATTACATGAAATGATTTTATTCAATCTGATTGGATGTCCTGTTTTATTAGTAATTAATTATATTTTGTATACAAAGGCCGCAACTAAAAAAAACTTCAACTGATATCTGAATCAAAACAAAAACTTGAGGAATGTCTTATCGAAATAAATAAAGCTCTATCTGATCCCAAAATTGAGGAATACCTTGTCGACACAGAAAAAGAAATAATAAATAAATACTGTGCTAAAGCAAATGCTTTGCTCAATAAATCGGTGAGATTTTACATAATTTTTACTTAATCTAACATTTGAAACGAAACTCACTTCAAAGTACAGTCTTTTGTCAAGTTTTTCTTATAGTAGCTTTCTTCGGTCCATGCCAACATATAATTTTATACCACCTGTTTGTACGCATTTGGCGCATAACAAGGCCCTGCAAAAGTACCAAGCGCTATGCAAGGTGCTATTGTGCTACCTACCAAATTTAGTACATACACCCTTGATGGAGCGGCCGGTTTGGGATCGGAACCCGCGATTTACCTTGCGAGACCAAGATAATTAAGTAAACCCCTAACCAGTGTTTCCCAACCCGAGTCCGCGGTCTCAAATGCGTCCGCGGAGCGTTTGAATGAGTCCGCAACGAGACATAAATTCACTGCGGGCCGCAACAGCCAAGTTACGATTTGCGTTAGAATTTACATAAAACATAAAAAGCAAGTTTATTCACATAACTTTATTCGAGCCTGAGTAGGGCTGGGCATATATTCGAATATTCGACTATTAGAATAGTAATTTACTATTCGAAAATTTGGTAACAGGTGACGCGACAGGTCACTCTCCCGTCGCTTAATCAAACGATTGGTTTCACAACTCACTTGCGATTTCCGACAAAAACACGAGTCGGCACATATGTGGATAGATAAATACCTAAGTGAGTATCGAGTTCTCGCGAGTTCGAACAACAAGAAATAATTTTTTTTTTCTGGTGGCAACCCAAATTTTCTAAATTGAATACAGCGGCAATACAAAATACTGAAAATAAAACGGAGACACCACAAGTTTTGTTTTATGATGGTCCGCGACGGATTAAAAACGCTTTTTTAGACATAGCAAATCGCGAAATTTCAGGTGCTACAGTAGTAGGCTATACGTACCAGGGCATTTTCCATTAGGATTCTTTGTCTTACTGCATCCACATTGGTAGGTACAGTACTGGAGCGCCGTAAGTGTTTTACAAACAGCTCAGATTTGTCGAATTCACAAAAATACCAAATAAAAAAAATGTATAATAGGGCACTTTACCACGCATTTTTGTGTCCACGGATTGTCATGATATTTTGTGTCATGATTAAAATGATCAAAATTAAATTAATAATAATAATAATAAAGCAAATCGATGAATATGTATTTTTTATTTACTTATATACTTTAAATATATTTTTAACAGGTACTAAATCAAGTTGTACTTACTGGAAATTTAGAGCAGATAGTAGGGATTTTCTAACGGCGATAACAATATCGCAAGATCGCAAAAAATATGTATCAAAACTAAATATAATCGGGCAAAATATTATCACATTATTATGTTCGTAGATTGCCGTGGCATTTTAAAGAAGTACATTTATTCACTAAAGAAGTCGGCTCTTAACGAACGCATAATTGCGGCGGATTTTCGATTTTGAAATCCGTTAAAATTCTGTTGTGTTTGGATTTATTGCTTCTTCACAGAGAGTACCTTTGCAATAAACGAACCTTGAGTCCGCAAAGATTTTCGTCGGTGAGAAAATAGTCCGCGCCAAAAAAAGGTTGGGAAACGCTGCACTAGACCAATCGTCCATAATTGTTTAAATTTTCTTGCAGAATCCGAGTAAAAAAGAGTTGGATAAAAGAAGAAATGCCCTAGAAAAAAACTGCTACCCAATTTTTGCTCAAGTAGATAACAAGGTGAAATAAGTTCCTCGATATTTTCGTTTAGCTGACTCAAAGAAGCGTAGAAATTTATTTTATGAAATATACCGAAATCGAACTTGTAATAAGTGCATAAAGCGTTCTATGTTTAAATTATTAAAATTAACGATATAGGTATTCGCGCTAATATGATTGTTTTGTTTTGGTATATAATATTATACTAGGCTTACCTGTTTATTCACTGCGAGATTCTAATCTAAAATATTCAAAATTTGTATAACAGCCACGATACGGAATCTATAAGATTATTAAAGATTCAAGAAAGTGCGTGTATTATGTAAAACCATGTCCGAATATGCTATTTTAAATAGAAATTACGAGGCTCCCAAAACTTCGAATACCACTTGGTTAAAATTTTTAAACGCTGTAATTTATTGAATTTACTTTGTCGTAAACTTCATGAAATTCTTACCAATTGTTATGGATCGAGTACTTCTTACTTTTATTACTCCAGATACTAACGACGGAGAATGAAAGAAAAGGAATGCAATTGCAGAATGATTTATCGTCACTTGAAATTTTTTCCAAGAAAGTCTTAGATGTCACATCTGAATTAGTTCTGACAAATAAAATATCTTCGAATGAAGAAACGCGCATAAGCGCAACATGCAATAAGATATTAGAACTCATAAGGAACGGTGAAGTACGTATAGATATTTAATACCATATTTTAGAAACAAAATATTTACTCACAACTATCGTGGAAATATCTTTAATAAAATAATGTGAACAAATTTCAGATAAAAACTACGGGAAGCTGTGAAACCTATCTTGAAAACATTAATGAAATTTATCAATCATTAAAGAAGTTGAAAAAACATCAAAATATGGTTAGAATAAATGATTTTTAATATGTAAATTCTGAGAAAATTTCCTATTTTCATCCTAATACAAAAATATAAACAAATAAAATATACCATCTATACAAAAAAGGATATTTTAGAGCGTTACGTATGTAAATTTTAGCAATTGGTTTAGGAAGCTGAAAAGGAACTGGTAAGCTTTGTGAACTATGTCAAAAGTTTGGCTGTCCGTATTCAAGGTAGTGATGATTACAAAGTTTCTGTCATCAAAAGTGTGACAAAATAAGCAGATGGATCTCCTATAATAAGGTAACTAATGTGAATCTAAAATAAAATTTTGTTACACAAAGAAAGCATTTTTAATGGTAAATACGAAGTAATTTTTGGTAAAGCAGGTTTAAGTACAAATATGATTATTTCAGACTTTGTTTCATCAGATCCAATGGGTGTAAGAATATTTAAGTATCTTTAGAATTGTAAATAGAGAGTAATTTTTTTCAACTCTTTCACAATGTTGAATTATTCTTTGATTCTATTGCAGGAAGCGAATGAAAATGATTACAATTCAAGAAAGGAAGAATTGAAAAAGGTTGCGCAACCTATGTTTGACATGTTGGATCGAGAAAAAAAAGTATTTGGCCAAAATTTTAACAATGCAGACAAATTTAAAATAATAAATATGAAGGGAACGATGAAAAAGAAAATTTTAATAATGGGGTTATTGAGTTTTTAACGATATTTTCAAACATTCGAAAAATTGAGAGATTTATATAATTATTTCCAATATGTAATAAAATTTTTTAAGTAGAATCCACTAGATAAGCGTTTTAGCAGGGTGAATTATGAATTTGTTTTAAAACGTTCGCCAAAAAGATTGTAATTGTTAAAAGGTTTGTTTATTTTTATCTTATAAACAAGGTGTGTGCAAACGGCGGCCCGTGGGCCAAATGCGACCCGCAAAGAAAAATTGTGCGCCCGTTGTGGAGTGGCAATTTTTAATGGAGTGTCTGCGAAACGAGTTTTTAGTTTAGGTAGTCGGATACTTGCAACAACTTTAATCTCTTCGCGTCGCGAAGCTTATACAAGTACCACTGTACCACTGTGGTTCCACTGTCATATTAGCCTATCTAGCTAGCAAAATACTGTTAGAAAATACACAATGGCATAAAAGCGGGTTTCTTGTTGAATTGGTTCAAAGTTGGTGCGGCCGCGCATTCACTCAGTTACTTATAACTGGCCCTACTGTAAAAAGGTTGCACAGCGCTGCTATAAACTACTCATCACTGTTCACCATTACTGTAATTTTTTACGTAAAATTCATTTGCAATATTAATGAAAGGAGTTTTTTTTTTTCGAGTCTCTATGCTGTTTGAAATGAGTAAAAACCATAGCTAGGGCAACTAACATGTTCAAAATTGGCATGGGGCACTTCCGCACTCTATATTTCATCTGCGAAGCACCTTCGCACTCATAATATACTTAGAGTGAACACTGCTACTCATAACAAGAATTTTTGCAGAAAGTGTTATTTCAAAGCATTATGTATACTAATTTGAGCAATTTTTCTAGCAAGCTGAAAGAGACCTAGTAAGCTTTGTGGAACATGTCAAAAGTTCGGCTGCTCAAATTCAAGGTAGTGATGACTATAAAGATTCGGTTCTCAACAAGTGTGTCGAAATAACCATGTGGATCTCAAGTAATAAGGTAACCTAAATAAACCTAATAAATTGCTTCTAATGATGTAATTTCTGATCTAGTAACGTTAGTATTATTTTGAGTAATAATAACACGGTAATACTTGACTTTGTTTATTTTATATAATAGTATTTGAGTACACCGTACCAATGTAGGTTTTATTCCAATCATTGTACTAATATTTAATTGCAGAGTTACTGGTATTATTGATAATTAAACGTTGCTTTACTCTATATAAATTGCTGAATTATTCTGAAATATTTTACTGAAGGAAGCAAACAAAAATGATTACGATTCAAAAATGAGAGAATTGCAACATTCTTCTCAATTGTTGCTTGACCAGATGGATCAACAAAAAAAGGTATTAATTAACAAATAGGAGAGGAACAAGAAGGAAATATTTTAAATAATTGTGGCATTGAGCCTAATTTGCCAGTGTTACAAGTGTTTCTTAGTGATGCTATTAAATTGTAGCTTTTGTATTATTTTTTTCTCATTCTGTAACATTCTGTCACATTGTTCTTGAAATTGTTAATAATTAGGTCACAACCAATCCACAGTATAAACCCAAATTTGTGTTTTTGTATAATTGTGCATTTTTTTGAAGCCATTAGTATTTATTTCAGCAAGAGAAAAAGGAGGCCAGAAGGAGTTTGCAAAAATACGTAAACGAATCCAAAGAATACCTTCTCAACCCTGCAAACAAACAGAGATTGTCTTCTGCAACGCATACTACTCTTATAAACAATTGTAATGACGTGCTATCGTGGACTTCAATCAACAAGGTCTGTCGTTGATGGGGTATATATTTTTATTTTGCGTTTATACTAATCACCAAAATAAACGTGTTTTGATACAAATGGTAGGTATGGCATCATAACAGAATAAAAAGCCTGGTCCTACTTACCCGGTTTCTAATTTTTTCTTTATCAATAAAAAAATTAAAAATTTACTTTTTATGCCTATATTGTCCAATTAAATTTTTTCAGACACCGGAGCTTACCGACTGTGTAAAAAAGAAACAACACTTCGATCATATTTGTGTTGAAGTCTTAAATGAAATGAAACGACAGGACAAGGTACAGATCGATCGGCGCGGAATTATTTGTTTTAATCTGTATTCTTTTAATCTGTTCTTTATATAAAATGTATGCCATAACGTTTTGTATGCCCGGAACCAAAATAAGTTTGAGGTTATTTTTATATATTTCCACATAATATGTTGTATGTGAGCATGAAGATTTGATATCTTTATTATAATAACCTTGATTCGAACTAGCTAAGTGATTGTTAGATGGAATTAGAGTGAAATCTATTCTGAATTTATTTGAATGCTTTGTAATGCATTAATATTATTTTCTACAAATTCAGATGTTCTATGAGAAACTCAGCATCTTGTCACAAGTAGTCGATAAAGATATTGTTACTGTTAAAGATAAAGATGAAAATTATGAAAAACTGAAAAATGAATTCGATGAAGTCAAGGAGTGGATATCTGCAAACAAGGTAAAAATAATACAACTTTCTCTAAAATACTACGCTATTTCTATTTTTACAATAATATTTTAATAAAATGGTAAATGTTGTTGAATAACGCCACTAGGAGGTTATTTACAAATAAAATTATTTTGCTGCTATCAAAATATAAGCAAATAATCGAATAACTTTCAGTTTTAAACTTTTTATGCAAACATCTGGATAAATTTCACGACAATAAGTATTCTATTTCAAATTTTTATGCCAAAGTAATGTCGAAATAATTTTAGATTTAATGAATTAACCAAATACATATTGTGTTTAAATAACAGTGCCCCACAAACATTCACTTTAGATGGCATTCAAACCCGAATATGAAACTAAAATACGAGACTTAAACTGAAATTCAACGAAATGTTTCAGACAAACTGAGCGAACAGGAGAAGGTAAAAGTTATATTTCTATTTAGTAGCAATCAATACTCCGAACATCAGATTAACTACCCCTCAAGCTTCAGTAACGACATACATATTCGATATTACTAGAAAAATTTAAAATTTCATACTACTATAATAAACTTAATAATATTTATTACCATTACCTATAGATGGAGAGCATGAGGTACAAAGAGGAGCGTGTGCAACAGCGATCGGCACGACAAGCTTTCAGAAACCACGTTTCGGAGGTTCACAAATACTTGAATAGCGTTACTGAAAATAGGATATTGCCACAGAAGAAACGCGCTTATCTTGATCAATGTACAGAGGAATTAATGTGGAAGAGCGATGATCAAGTACGCTATTTTTTATTCTTGTGTGAATGAATGCATTTTGTTGAATGCTTTAACTGTGCATCATGTAAATCGCTTTTATTGGAGGTTTTTGGGAAAAAAATTCTAGCAGAATATAGTTGATTTTCATGAAATTTTCATAAATATAACATCACATTTTCATATATGAAATTTTGAATAGAAATTTGCATAATTTCCCAACAGTATTGTTTTTAATTGTATTTTGCTGAATGTAACATTCATCTAACTAAAAGAATTATATTCAATACTCCCCTTATTCGTGTGGAAATTAGCCTGCAAAAAATGTGAATATTTTATTAAATGATTATTTTTTTTTTCTGTGAAAACAAATTTACTTTTTTTTTAATTACTTTCTAGACCTCTGAATCAACCGAGTTTAAAAAACGACATAAAAATTTTAATAATACCATTGGGACAGTTTTTGACAAGTTGCGCCAAGAAGATAAGGTATGATATATTTTTCGGCAGCAGTGCACATAATCGATAGTATCTTTTGAAGAGAATTGTTGTATTTTATAATTAAAATATTAGATACGTGCTAAATGAAAATGAGATGTTCATGATACAGAAAGTCTATTCATTAACTTCGGTAGTAAAGGGATATTATTGTCACCACTGCATATAATGGAGTATTTTTTGATATCGAGTTTGAGCTGACGTATTCATACAAATGATTTTCAAACGCGCCTCAATTTACTTTTGTTTTGAAATTTTTTTGAATCCGTTTTGCCAGTAAATGTAAAACTGGCAATTGGAAATTGAAACTAAACACAAATATTCGACTTTTATCAATTTATAGGCTGACAATAACATAATTTATACAGAAACTTTCAACGCTGAGTGACTAAGTCATTGGTTGCAGGCACAAAAGGACAATGAATAATGCCACATGGGATTCGTTAATAAAAGCAAATTCTTTATCAAGAAAGCAGAAGTCATTGTATTTGAATTTCGAATAAATATATTTTCTCTCACGTATTTATGGTATAGTTATATTGGAATCTCTCAAACCGTGAGGAGACTGTTTAATTGAAGTTATATTATATGCAGAATGCCCAGCAGGAGCTTGGTGGATTATATAAAGATGTTAAAAGTATGATTGACAGCACGGGAAGCGACGAACTCGTGGACAAGGATAAGTTACAAAGTGAATGTTCTGACATAATAGATTGGATTTTGAAACATCCGGTAAGCTTCAAGATTGAAAGCGATTGTGAAGTAATTATTGAAAATTATAATATATATATATTTGTTGAAAGAAAAAATTTTTTACGTCAATATTTCTAACCCTACTTAGTATTAATCCTTTAGAACGCTTACAAGGCAGACTACGAAAATCAACAGAATAAACTCGAAACAATTAGGAACCAATATCAGGACCAATTGCAACAACGAAATAAGGTATTTTTATAATTTACCTCTTTTGATATGTATCTTGACATTTGATAGTTTTAAAATAAATGAGGTCATTTGGTTTAGTAAATCAAACATTATTATGTACACCAGTGAATTATATTATATTTTATGCTAATTTATTGAGATACGATATATAAAAAATAACTATGATGATATATCCTTTTGGCTTATCTTCCGGACATTGGACAAAAAGCCTTACTACTTGACATCTACCATTTAATTCACTACCAGTAAATGCGTAATACATATATCAGATATTTCACAATTATATCAAAGTATTCTGGTCATATATTTGTAAAACTAATGTTAAAAGATCTCGAGTCTGGATTCTGTGTTCTGTTATCTATCTGTGATCTATGCGCTTGTCAGAATGGCTTACCTTAAACTCTTTAAGTACACCATTGGCCATTGTTGTCAATGATAGAAATAAGGAAAATATATTAAATACCTTTACTACTAATCGGATTATTGAATACCAATTGTTTAATGAATGCTTAACTGACATCTTTCTCGACAATAAATGTTATGACATTTTTTACATATTAACACTTCTCATAACAAACATATTTTACAGGATTTGCAATCAGATTTTTTTAATTATTTAAAACAAATAAAACATTACGTGGAAGATAAGTCATACTCAGAATTAGTTCATTCAGATGAAAAAGCAACACTGTTGCGCGAATACAGCATTGGATATTTATGGATTGAGAACCAAAAAGTAATAATTTAATTTGCAATAATGATTTTGTTGGAAAATTATTTATTTTTGCTAAAAAATTATTACTTCCTCTACACTTTTCATCGATACTTTTTTCAACTTGCTATTATATACTCGAAAAACTAACTGTACATTATTTATGACTGAAAATATGCCAGCGCCAAAGGTTGTATATTCAATATGTTTGTAGGTCAGCAGTTCGTGTGTTATTGATATTGGTCTTGCAATTATTTGCAATTTATATCTTTTCTCTGACTATTATTTCAATCTGTTTGTGACCAACATTGTTTCGTTATTTTTACGTTCAGAAAGTTAAATATAGTGAACTAGTTGAGAAGAAGAAAAATCTTGTTCATGTTTGTCAGCCAATCTTCGATAGATTAATGCGGGTAAGTACTAAGTTATTAAATCAGTTTATACTTTGTCAAGTCCAAAATATTTTAAAAAACAATTCAAAGGTTTTATTTCATTTTCACGTTGTGAATTACAAATAATTCTTCTATCATTTCATAATAAAGGCAGAATTCAATCGAACTAAAAAGACTCTTGAAGATTATGTGCACCAGGTGGAGCAAAAAGTGCGCTTTGAATATTCTACCCGCTTGAACGAAAATGATAAAAGAGTTATCCAAGGAAAATGCGAAAATGTGAGACAATTTAGAAAGAAAAACAAAGTGAGTAAAATAAAATATATTTAAATATTCATATTATGTAAGACAATACCAAAATGCAAACAAAGTTAGACAAAATACAATATATTTGAGTATTCATAATTCATTCCTAAAATTTAATCATTTTGTATGATAATTCAGAACGCTAATACAGAAGAACTAAAAACCGTATACTTTGATCTTACTTCTGCGGTTGAACCAATTCTAAAGAAGCTCCGCAAAACATATGAGGTGCTTTTTTAATACAATTTATTTATTCCATATTTAATAATTGACATCTCTTTTTTGCGGTTTTGTTCATAACGTATAATTAAATTGGAATATCGATTCTATAATTTTGACTTTTAGATATATGTATGTAATAGTAAAAAATAAATGCTTGCTCATATAGTTCATATTTATGTTTATATCTGTAGTAGTTTGATTGTTGCCAGTGTTAATTGATTGTCAACACTAAATGTATTTATATCACGTAAATTGGATCTATTCTTTATATTCAGAACAATGAGAGCAAAAGACAAAGACACCCCAGCACGACAAATACAGTAAAATTATTGTAAAATATTTTAAACTAGTTCAAATTATATTATAAATTGTTTTATATTTGATTTTTGATTTTGGCTATATATTTTTATAAAACTAAGAGAATAGTCAACTGAATGCGGGTGATAATAAACGAGGGAATCAAAAATTATATCGAGGATACTGTATTTATTAACTAATTTACATTGTTTGCGCAAGAGCTATTCATGTACAATCAAACTAATAATATCATATTCACGATTCCTCAAATCACGCTCGCAACAAAATATGTAATGATGGTCTCTGTATTGTTTCTATAGAAAGTAATAACTCAACAACCCAGGAATGAACAATCTACACCTGAAAATGATAATCGGCAATATTCAGAGGGTTACGGGTATCAAGACGTAAAGAAAAAAACGACTCGACTGGTGAGAAGAAAGAAACTAAGTTAAACAATGTATTGTAGTATATATTGTATTGCAGCTGAGTTTCATAACCAAGATTTATTTAAATTTCTATTTACATTTGTGGTGTATTTTCACAAGATTTCTTAAATGCAAATCTAGAGCTCGAAAAAACGACTTGGCATTCTGTATTGTTTTAATTTAGATTTCGCCTGATCAAACATTCTCTAAACCAGAAAGAGATCGTGATTCATCGCGCCTAGCGATAGCTGGTAATAGAGTAAGATGCTTTCCTGTTTCAGACAAACATAAATATGGAGCGCACACGCAGGTATGTTGTATAGTGCTAATGTGTAGTGCATACTGCATGTGATTCTCTAACTAATTTTTTTTTTAAATATACATTATTGAAATTAATATTTTCAATATTACTTCTTAACTTACCTTCATGTTTGATTTAAACGTTTATCAATAAAAATGCTAGTAATTTTTTAGCGTTCAATATTAACATTATAATTTTATTTTTGCAATGTTGTTACCGAACGTTATTGCGTATTCATTGTAAAGAAATTCGAAAAAAAAAATTAGTATTTTTGTCAAAATACCAAACTTTAGAACAGGTTTGGTCGCCTCAGAGCCTTGGACTTGACTATGTTGGCATCGCAGATTACGCATCTCGGGTTGAATTCGCAAGCCCCACCTCACCAAGAAAATAAATTTAATGGGCAATGCCGAACATGGAAGATTCCCAAATACTAGTAGTTCCCTAGCTGTGGTGAGATAGATATCAGTGGCGATTGTAAATAGCCTTGTTCGGAGCGTCGTATTATTGAAATTTTTTTTGACCGAAATTTATTCTAATCGACATTGATGAATAATTTCTTTCTATTGACATGAATGCGTTAAGAATAGATTTATAAAGAGATGATAGTGCGTGAGTGATTGGTGGCAGGTTTCTGATGGCTCAAGCTCATGGTTTGAGCCAAGATTATTTTATAGATATATAATATCGATGGTATTTAATGACAGCAAATGGGCACATGATTATTTTGTATAGGTATTATAGTATCTTTATGTCTTAAATGAGTTTGTGAAATGAAGAATGCAAATGTTTCATTCACTACAAATGGAAAGTCATAGTTTAGTTGAGTACAAAAAATGCAGCATAACTAAATTGTCCCTCGAATAATTGGTACTAATTGGTAATAGAACTAAAATAAGGAAAATGGGAATAAAATTATGGCCTAACCCTAACCTGGTACACATACTATGTTTAGGTGTCCACCATCTTGGTTCACATACTACGGGAACGACAAATAATTTCATTCAACTTATTGTTTATTTATTATAGTCACAAAAGACATCACGTGGGGATGAATATCATTATTTTCCCAGTAATTCTCAAATGCAGAGTCAAGGAGAGTTTCAGACACTGGACGAAACAAGTAGGCCATATTCAGGCAGACTTCATTCCTCGAGTTCTAAATCAGGAAAAAATACACCAGTATGTATTAATATAACTTTATAGTATTGTGTAAAAGTATAAAATGAAAGTTTACTCAAGAAAATTTCAAGAGTTTTATATTTACATGTTTTTTCCTCAAGTTAAAAATCCTTCCTAAGTTATTTGAATTTTTGAAATGCCGGTAACGTGTGCATTTGATCTACTGCAATTTCGAAAATATAAAAATATTTACTATTACAGAGTTTTTTTTTATTCTCCTATGACAAGGCAAAAATTATGACTTGTCTGTTTTATGTAGATAGGTCTGATTTTTCAACCAATCGTTTTTATGTGGATATCAGACGCAGACGAGTATTTTGGGATGGTTGTTTCCATAAATATGGGTTATTATAATCGAGTAATGTAAAATGCTGCTTCATAACTATGATTAACTATGCAAAATAGATGTTGTCTATGTTTTGTCTCACCTATAGCCTGACTAGTTGCATTTATGTGAGACCCATGACTCAATATTGTCTTGCAAGGGACATTGCGCGACAAAGCGCGACAAATCGTTTGAAGATTTCTCTTCAAAACTAAACACCTCGCTGACGGCGAAAAGTGACTATTATTCGGAATCAGCCGAAAAGGTATTCGAACATTCGAATATTCTATTCGTTTTGGACAACCCTGAAAATTAGAATTACTTGAAGTATGATTTTACAATTGATTTGCTAAAATATTAACGCTATCGGTTGAATAATTAATTTTACCTTCCTTTAATTAATTTTGAGTCTGACTCCAAATACGTTTTGATTCGATTGAATTACTAGTATTTTACTAGATAATTACTATCCGCATTTACTCTTCTATAGAATCGTCACCGCGGGCAATATTTCCTCCAATAAATAATTTGGATTTTTAATTTTAAATAAAGTAAGTCTGACGGTATTTGACTACCTAAGTCCATTCAGTTTGAAAATGCTGTTCCGGTTGGTGCAAAATTTGTTAATAGGCGCTGTTTTAAGGACATTATCCGGCTCCGTAGCGATTATGTCTAACGAATCCTATCCTATTTTATAATTACTGAGCAATCGAAAACTGCTAGCACCTCATTAAACATTCTCGTTTCGGATGAAATAACAACTCTGTAAAAATCAGATTCGACACATCGTGGCCCCAACAAAGAGAATGAACCCAACAGTTTGCGATCAATAGCTCTGAAAGGGAAAGTTTTTTTTTTTCTTGGTTAAGACGAAGATTATTTTCAAATGAGTCATAACTCTGACTAATAAATTGTTTCGGTGACTTTTTGGTTTCATGCATACTATCGTTATCGGGTGAATGAGATTAAATTATCAAGAGGAGTTTTTACAATGATAGCCTCTGCATTGAGAATTTACACTGAGTAGTGTAAATTTAGTGCAGGGATTTCCATCTCATCAGACTTACTTAAAAATATCTTCATGATATACAGATTGCCGAGGCCAAAGCTAATCTTTCAGTGTATGTGAAAGAAATAATAAATGACCTAGACAATGATGCGAGCAGGGGATTTTTTCTTTCAACTAATCATCGAAATCAGTTGTACGGGTCTTGCGCTGAAGTTAGAAACTGGCTTAAAGAAACTAAGGTTTGATCGTACTGATAGTAATTATGATTTATTTAAATAGTTGAGTTTTCGGTTTTATATTCCCTTCCTTTTTTTTAATTTGGCTGATTTCTCAAATTTACAAGAAATGTAATAATCCTTTTACATTTTTATCAGTACATTATTAAAAGATTTAAAATTGAAAGGTTATCATATATAAAACCGCATTAGTGGCCCCGACTAATCTTAATTTGCACAGATATACAGAAAAATAATTTTTGTGCTTTATATTCAAATATAAGAACGAGTAAAATAACGCACTTACATTATGAGTGTATTGAGATACAAAACATTGCATCTTTTTTTCTATGCATAACAACTATAGTCGTGTATTGAGATAAATTTCTCATATTTATAGAATCCGTCATTGGAAGAGATAGAAAGAAAAACACAGCAGTTGAAAACCAAATGTCAAGCAAGTGGTTTGCGAAGCAATAGACTGATTCAATCTGACTGGTTATAATTTTCTTTTTGTATTACATACTGTAATATTGTACATACATTGTCTTCGTTTCATTATATATGGAAATGAAAAACGACATAAACAATTATGATACCGAGTTTTATGTAATTTTACTTCATATTGAGGGTGAAAACATAATTTATCATAATTATTGTTAAAAGAATTTTTATGATTGAATAGAATGTATAATTGACTAATCCTTACAATTACATATAATATTCATCATTGATAACTTTAAGAAATGCTTTAAGAATGCTAATTTTCAATGATGTCATCATGGTATTTTATTTAAGCGTTCATTTGTGGTATGATAGCTCTTTACTACAATCTTTAATAATTACCTATCTCCCTAGATGTAGTTGGTTTTTCCGCAAAACAGGACCGACAATTACAGTAGTTCGGTAAATAAATTTCTGGTCTTTTCAATTAGTTATTGTAACCTTGGGTTTCGCTGCTCGATAACCCGCTTTGATTCTCCGCGACATTCCTACCCTAGTGTAACTGTGTGATTATCATTTTAATAGAATATTATATAAGATAGATTTTTACTGGTTGAAAAATATAAACTAATCACATGAAATTTCAGATGTATTTGTCCCAGTTAAACCTATCCATTTAAGTCATTGGATTCCTTCCTTGTGAGCGATCAATTAATAATTATTTTATTTTTGTAACACCTAGTAACCCATGAGGATATCTATTTAGCGTAATAAATAGACTCAGTTATTTCAACGCCTTCAATATGTAAAATTAATATTGTATGTTGATATGTTACCAGGTAAAATTATTTCCATTTAACGCGTCTATAATGCTTGTTGCTTTTTGGAATCTCATTCACTTTCTGAAACAATGTTTCATTCGACAATAAACACTAATGTATATTCAATATCAATCAAATATATTTTCATTGGGGCAGAGATAAAACAAAATGTCGGTCTTATCGCAAGTATGTCTTGAAAAATACCTTTTTGCCAAATAGTGCGCGAAATTTAAAAGGTAATTGAGCACAGTTGTTATATATTTTTGCAAATATGTAGAAAGTCATGGCCAGGAGTCTTATGTTACGAAATATTGTGTAGGTACCACCAACGGCCGGCAACCCACTTGCCTAATGTTAAACAAGTTCATGGACGCCATCTTGTGCCATATTTGGATAACGCAACACAATAAAGTCTTATGGGAAATTTGCGTCGTGTTGACGTACCGAATCGATTAAGTCAGCTGTTATAAGGGCTAGAATGAAGCCGAAAGATGGGTTTTGAACTTCCTGCTACATGTTACCTAAATATATAACGAAATTAGGAAAAAAAACTATTTTATGCGTTAAATTTGACCACAAACACAACGTAGAACTATTTTTGGTCTTTTTTCGTAGATTTTATATGATACGCCAATTTGACGCTGTAAAATGTTTCCGCAACAATCCTACAATGTTACTGGTTTTTCTAGCACAGCTCGGATCTGAGCAGTGGTCAGTATGGGTGCTTAACAGACGAAAAATATTAACCAGAAAATAGAAACGGCCATTGAAGCGAAGTTGAGTTGGCCGGTAATTTCGACAAATAAATACAACTTTTCATCTGTGACGTCATAAGGAACGCCATTGTCAAATGGTTAAATATGACGATTAGAATGGCCAACTTACTTCGCAAGCAAACATGAAAGAATATCAGCATATTCGGCTAAGATTCTCCTTCAAAATGCGACCTTCAAAATTTAAAATTTTTTTACTTAAAATTTTAGTGAGAATACCTATTATGTTTCAATAATTGTGTGCGAACTTCATAGGGCACGGTGTTAGGTGGCCGAGAACAATAAGCACAAGATGGCGTCCATTGTCTGAGCGTTGCTTCGCTTGTATTATATACACGTTTTGGGTACCACCACCGAGTATCCCCACACTCATGTGCCTACCAGATTGTAAATCTCATGTTTTCGGCCTGGGCCTGCATTGGCTCTGAAAAATGTTTTCCATAACTGTCTGAACTCAGTCGTCTTTTCCATATTGATGAAAATTGGCTATTGTTCCCGCTAACAAATGGAGCGGCGATGAGACGCAATTAGGTAAATTTCAGCGGCTCGGAACGATTCATTCAAAGGAGACTTTATTTGTCTATGTTTTTTCCGTGTTGTGTATTTTACTTCTACAAATGACTGACTGGTCTTTTTATTGAGTATCGCTTTCTTATACTTGGGCTGTGCTAAAACTGCTTGACCGAACTAAAAACATATCGACTTTTGATTGTCCGTAATATAAACATCCCATAGTCAAAATGTTGCGTCGCTTGGCTTATTTTTCAAATACAAAGATGCTTTCTTTAATTTAGACATTTATTTTTATCTATTCAGCACTTAGTGCGAATAATTACTGAAAATTTACTTAATAACATAAACAGACTTTGATATACTTAGACCTCATCCCCGTTTGACATGTTGAGTTTTTTGTTGAGGAAAGGAAAACAATCGAAAGTTACAAAAAATTTGAATGTTTAACATATTAATTGTAACAATATCGGCGTTGTAATAACGTATATATCTTTTATATACGACTAACACGAATTCTCAACGTAAATGCAAATTCAATCGAGAGTGTTTATAGCGCTCACTTATGATGAAATCTACTATTTTGATACACAACTATACATCGAAAAATGTACACAAATTGAGAGTCTTGACAAATTCTAAAACGGAGGCGCGACCTAAAAAGTTTGAGAACCACTGTCCTATATGAACTTTTAACCTACTTCCGCGTGGAACGATCAACGTATATTTATTACTTATCGATCTTAAGATCGGTTAGTATATTGATAGGTATTTGTCTGTATGTATGTCTGTCTGTATGTATGTCTGTCTGTATGTATGTCTGTCTGTTAGATGCACGCGATATCTCACGAAAGCGAGATTGAATCTGCTCCAGATTTTGCATGTGCATTCATCTTATCTCGGACCAGTAGCCTATTGATTTTGGGCGAATTATGTCGTATAATTAGCGAGTTATCAATCAATTATTGATATAGTGATCTAGATTTTTGTAAAGCGAGAGAATTTTCAAACCCGCCGAGTGTGTGTGTGCGATGCGCAGTGCGCAAGTTACAAGAGCGGATGAATCGAAACTGCAGTTTCTGTTTTGGGGGATCCCCTAACTATCGATCGATAAGTCTTCGGTTTCCAACCGATATTCTCGTTCTATTTTTTGACACGTAGTAACCCATAAATATTTCTATTTCGGGTAATATATATATGTTTATTAGAGTAGTGATAAAACATAATATCTGTCTCATCAATAGTGCGCGGTATTCCAATGTTAATGAAGCATAGCTTTGTTGTAATTTTGCAAACATATGAATAGGGCATCGTTTCTGATTTATTTAATTAATAAAAGGTATGGCTACTAGTCTTATGTTACAAAACTTTAGGTAGTCACCACCACCAAATACGACCACACTTATGCGCGCACCAAATTGTAAATCTGATGTTTTCATACCTGCATTGGTCTAACAAAATGTTTTCCAGAACTCTCACGACTGAGTCGTATTTCTCCTACTGTTGGAAATTGACTAGCGTTCTCGCCACTATTAAATTCAGCGGCGCAATACGGTATATTTCAGTTGCTTGAAACGAAACTATGAAAGTAGGGTACATTTACTTTATTCGTCTATTCTTTTCAATGTTGCGTATTTCACTGAACTCAACTATTTTATGCGGTACTCCCGATAAATTGAAGAAGGAATCGCGAGTTCCATTGTTGACGACAAAAGATCTTCTCAAATCATCAGAACGTAAGGTAACAAAACTAACTTTATTTTTTCAGTCGATTCCATTATAATTCGCTTCACATCGCATTCGTTTTTTAAATTAAGTTCAATATTTACAAAAGTTGTTGCTCAGTAAAACATATAAAAATTGGCTATTCTTGTTCACGTTATGTAGTAGGAAAACAAAGCATTCGATACATCGCATATTCCGCAACATTAAAAAATTGGCTGATTGTTTAAATTTCATAGTTTGCTTGAATTTCCGATTCTTTCGATGTGATTTTATCACCTTGGGTGTCGTTGGTCGAAATCGGTTCTATTTCCCCACGGTTTTCCTTGCCCAGTAAAACTATGATATTATCTTTTTTTATCAAATTCTGAATGTGAATTATTTGTTACTGGTTATAAAAAAGAAACTTAATGCTTATTTTTTTCTATTGTTAGTTAAGTGACCGCACGTGCAAGCATACTGACATCAGCATAGTCATTGGTTTGAATTGTGATGAGTAATATTACCTACTTTATATGAAAATTAATTTTAGCTATAAGACTTAATTTTCGTTTTTGCGAATCAATTGATAATAGTTTTATTATAAAATTTGGTTTCCCACCCCAATTTCTTTGACGTTAAATGAACAGATATAAATACTTCTGAAATTTTATTTTTCAAATTTTATGTTAAACGTTGGTAAATTACAAGGTTAAAGTATTTATATTTTTTTAATTCATCCAACCATGGTGCTTTTTTATTTTTATTTACCTTCAAAATCACCTAATATAACATTCTTAATATTACAAATGACATCGCCTATATATTCAACATCTACCAAATTTTCGTTTATAAAAGGGCTGTAAAATATCTTGTTTAACACAATATCGCACGGGGTTAAAAAAAATAGTAGAGTACACTCTTGAATGACAAAATATTTGCCACAGTATAAATACGGCTCACTCGCTGGTAAATGAATGCCTCATTTTTAATCAATCATAGAGAGTAATTTTTACTGGACTTATATTAATTGATTTAAATATAATTTTGAGTACGGCAAACATATGC